TTTTTTTAATCAAGCCACCATTTGATTTAAAAATTTTGACAATAAAATACTAAGAGACTACAGTTTTATTGTGTTTCAATTGAATTTAGCGCACAGATCAGATTTAGCTAGCCGTTCGATATTAAAATTATTTGTTTGAATAAATTTGGATGAGCAAGTGAAAGATGGACACGGCGGCGTGTACTTATATGCTCGATGTCATTGTCACCTATTTAAAGACAACAGAAATCGAGATCGAAGATCCCAAGAAGTTGCAAGTTGATGTTTGCTTTGATAACAAACCGCTGCAGATAACATCCAGTCGGATTAATGTGAAGGACTTCAAGGGCGAGTCATCCTTTGAGTTTAGCAGCAATGCAGAAATCTTGCGGCAGAATGTAGCAGCGTATGGCATGCCAGTGATCGTCAAATACAATGACAAGGTTATCGGGCTGGGAAACATCGGATTTCCTCCCGTGTTCATTGATCGCATAGATGCGAACATGAACGATATATTGTGTGCCAGCAGTTGCAGGTTTCAGCTGGCGGGCAAAGTTGCCGGCACTCTTGAGGTACTCTGTCGCCTCTACATGAAGTGTACGGATACATCAAGGTATGTAGTTCCCTAGTCAGATTCACAAATCAATGAATTAAATTGCTTAATCGTGCTTCGTCTCAGGCCGCGCGAATCGGACTGTGGCCAAACTGCAAAGAATAGCATTCACCCGCAGGATATTATGTTCCTTATGGGAGATGTGCTCCACTGCCCCAAGGCCAGCGATATTTGCCCAGATATACTGCCGCCAGATGACAACAAACTACGATTCGAATTGGAGTCATACCAAAGTGCTGGGCCAAAAGCTGATCCCCTTCGACCCTTGGAACCTTTGCCGAATAAGCCCGTAACTAGTGGCGCCACTTGTGGCATAAAGGTTGCTACACATACAACATTTGGAAAAGCTCGCCCCTTAGATTTTGCTTCTATTCACAGACCTTGGGCCGCCGACCTGAGCGATTTACCGACATAGTCGCAAGGGGAGGAAACGAATTTCATCCATTCAAGCTGTCTGCCCGCAAATCCATTGGACGAAGCAGCAATGCAGTTAGCTTTCTGTCGGACAGTCGTAGCACCCCAAATATTCACTACTCTGTAAACGATCCAGTCAGCGAGGTGATCAACAATGATTTGTATGGCCCGCGGCTAGTCCCAGTGGAAGCGGAAGTGGATGTGGAAGATTTGCAAAATGCAGACATTAAGGGCACACGCTTCTGCCCCATCTGCCTGACCAACATGTCGTGGCTGCCCAAGTTTGCGGCCTGCGTGAAGTGCGGTGCTAAGCCTGTGCCAGTTATTGAGGAGCGCCACAAGGAGAAGACGCCAACGGCTGACGAAATCTTAAAGGATTTACTGGGCAAGCCGCCAGAAACTATTGAAGACTACTGCAGTAAGCCACCCGCCACAGTTGTGGTTGAGGAAAAAGATCTAAGGCCCGCATGTCGGTGCACTTGCCAGAACGGGAGAACCTGTGCCCACTGCCGAATACGTAAGCTCTGCGCCGATATTTTCCATGAGGATGAGAAGCCCGTTGCTTGCCTCGACGCGAAAGAGCACACGATCGAGGACATTTGCATGGAAAATAAGACGACAGAGAAGTGCGGCCCACATCTGACGCGGGTGTTCTCCGAGCTCCGCGATCTATACGACATCAATGCAACTAAGCTCTCGGAAGAGCTTAAAGAGCTTAAATGCGATCCAGTGGCATGCAAACCAAAGGACAACAACTTGAATGCGAGTGCCAAGCCCAAATTGAAAACTAAACCATTGGTGAAGCTCGAGAAAACCTTATCAACAACTGTCCTGCCAAAGCGATTGCCCATCAAAATCGGCCACAAGTTCTGCGCTCAGCTGCCCGGCAACGTGCCGCCAAATCACGGATGGGCCTGGACCAAGAGCGACGAGACCCGCAAGTACGGCTGGCAGCCAGGCTTCGTGCGCAAGTCCATCAAACGGATTATGAAATTCTTTTTGCAATACCTGCCCGAGCGCAATGCATTCAACAGGTGCCTGAGCATGGCAAAGAAACAGAACGAGAATGAACACAACTTGCCCACTCTCCGCATATACAAGAAGAGTGGCGAAATCTTCATAACGCTGCGCGCTGCCAGCAACGCGGAAGCTGAAGTAAAACCGATTGTGTTCAAGATTGTTAAGAGCGACCTAGCCGCCGCTCTAAGCGACATCAAGAAGAAGCTTAAGGCCAAGGGCTACCGGAAGTGCACCTGTCACAATACGCTGATGATGTGCGTCTGTCGCAGCGTCTGCGAGAAAAAGAAACTCGAGGGAGCTCTGCAAAAGGAGTGCACACGTCGCGGCATAGAAAGCTGTGCGAACCATCTCGTGCTAACAGACACCAGCGACAGCGAAATGGAGTTTGACATTAATGTGACGGCGCCGACTCCAGAGGCGAATCTGAAACCCCCGACCGTTAATAATGCCACCCAGGTGAAGAATGTTAGTCTATGCATCCCACCCAGATATCCCCTCAAGCAAAATCCCTACCGGCGTGTCTATGACTGTGCTACCAGTGGCCGATACACGGGCACAGTCTTCGGCAGACCGGCAGCGGTAGTGCTTGAGGACGGGGTCTTTGGGCAAATGGGTGGCGGTCTGTACAAAGGGAATACTACTCCGGGGAGCACCAGCAGTGGCTCGCTCCAATGTGATTATAAAACTCATGAGTATATGGGGCGTGCTCAACCCCCTGAACACAAGCTGATCAAAAGTATGTTTGTCCCAAGCTTTAAGGGTCGTCTTCTCAACGACGGACGCCTTACTGGCGGGATGGCTGTTCAGCTTATACCTGGATTAAACAAGCAGCCGGCTAACGGGCAATGCGATTCCAAGTGCATGCCAAAAGCAATGCCCAAGCGGCTGGCGATGAAAACCAAAAATAACGTCAACTCCCAGACTGCAGATAAGGAAAACGAAATAGCAAAGAGAAAACTGAATAGGGACATGCATTATTTGAAGAAAAGCGGCTCATTTACTAAGCCAAAGCCTCTACTCAGCCATGATGGCCTGACCGACTTACAGAAGAGACAACGCGCTTTCTTGCAAATTTCCTCACCGCCCATCGAGCTGGCCAATCGCAAGGACAACGAGTGCCAGAATACGCGTACCACCAAATGTTTATGTACTCGTTTTAACAATTTCTAAGCATAAATTATTGTATGAGTAAATGCAATGTATATGTTATAAAATGTTATTATTAGTCAGTTCAGCTTTTTATTTGTGTGATGGCCTCAGAGCGTTAGATGAATAACCTTTTATTTCAGATTTGAGTATTGCGTATAAGTATTTCCTCCAAGTCTTTCCTCTAAGTATTTTCCCTAGTCATTTCTCCTAAGCTTCTAAGTACTTCCTTCCTCCAAATATTTCTTCTAAGTCTGTAATGATCAGACACTTCACTTTTTCCTACTTTACTGCACTGCACTGCAATACATGACTGACTGAAGAAATGCAGAAGCTGCTGCGGCTTATATATGACAATTTTCACTCAATCACTAAGTCGCTCTCAAATGTTGAGACGGTGCCAGGTAGGGCTCGTTGCAGTCGACCCTTAAGTGACCAATGGAAACACACTCTGCAGCTGCAAGTAAAATAATTCTGCTGCATACATATAGACAACTTAAATGATCTTCTGAATTACCAGCGTAAAGTCATACAATAAACACCTTTAGCTATTTAAGAATTAGCATGGTAAAACAATTGAGTTCATTTCATTTTAAAATTTAAATACATATTATGTATGTATATTTGGCATTTGTGTAAGCCATCAAAACAAAATCATAGAGACCTTTGGTGTATCAGCATAGCATTCTGTTTCATTATTATTCACTTAAAATTTGCTGTGCCTTAAATTCAATATTTTTTGAAAATTGACAATAAATTTTTTTTACCATTTTGCTCTTTCGCACACTTTTAAATAAAAAAAAATGGCTAACTGTACTTTTGGCTTTAATGCAGTGCTGACTAGCATTGAGTTAAATAATCCAGATTTTCAGGATCTGCAAAAAGTACAAGTTGAGGTCAATTTTTGTAATGCTTTTATAACAATAAGACAAAGTGGCTTCAATGTGCCCGAGCTCATGCCCGAGTATAGCACGGATGTCATCATAGACCCGACCGTTCTCCGCCAGACTATCGAGGAATGCGGAGTACCCATATCAGTAAGGTATGAAGACTTTCTAGTTGGTATGGGAGCTGTTCGCTTTCGTCCAGAAGACTTGGAGGGGATAGGGGACAGCATGAAGCAATTGGTCCTCACAGAGTCCTGTACGGTTGATCGCGACGGCAAAGTTGTTGGCAGAGTAGAAATGCTATGCTCTCTGCAGCTGAAATGTGTCGACGAGGAAAAGTGAGTAAACGGTTTTGCTATGAAGTAAAGAAGTTCTATTCCTGTTTTATCATTTGCCAGGGGGAAGGAGAGCACGTGCCAGCTCTTCAAGGACAAAAGTATCAACGAAAAGGATATCCTATTTATTATGAGCGAGTCCCAGCAGTGCACCGATCCCTGCCTAGGTGCATTAGACAGCGTTGAGGACTCTGAATATCTCAAATTTGGCACTCAAAGTTTCGCAAACGAGAATATTAAATGCAAGCCACCTGCACCTAGGTTTCTTCATAATCCAGTTGGCAATGCTATCTGTTGTGAAGTGAAGGTAACTATGAATAAAGTAGACCTCCACCAGATTGCGTTTAACGATACTTTTGTGTGTACAGGAAATGGCTCAGGACTGTAACGATACTGTTGACGCAATTACGATCAGCTTGGATCATAACAAGAAATTAAGACCGCCTTGCCGAGGGCCCCCTGACCCACTCGGCCATCCTTGCACTTTGAATATGCACTACAATTCCTGTAGAATGCCTCTCGAGGAGAGTAATCTTCGGCTTCCATGTTTCACGCGCATACCACCGCTAGATCCGGAAGAATACAACACACTAAGTGAAAGGAAAAATGACCTTCTGAAGGAAAAACGTTTCTGTCCCATTTGCCTCACCAATTTGACGTGGCTTCCCATATTGGCTGCCTGTCCTAAGTGCGGCCTAAAGCCGATGCTATTGCCTCAAAAACCCAATATAAAAGTACCCGATGACGATCTGATTTATAGTAATCTAATTATACCACCAGAAGATACGCCACCAGATGAGGTGAAGCCGAGGAAATGTCGGTGCACTTGCAGGGCCGGCAAATTGTGCCCCTTTTGTCGAGTTCGCGAAAAGGTGGCCGACTTTTATGACATTGAGAAGCCACCTAGGGAGTCTCTTGTATACGAGGACTCCGACCAGGAAACGTCTGAGGTGGGCGTCAAAGAAACAGACTCTCGTCCATTTCTATCGCGCGTATTCTCCGAAATACGCGACTTAAATAATATCAAGGATATCAAACCTTTCGACGTGCTGCAGAAGGAGTGCGCAAGGAAAGAGAAAGCGGAAAGAATGCAAGCCGGGCGACTGCAAGCTGGTACCTGTGGAAAGGATGAGAAGAAGCCAGCAGCCGCTCCCAGCGAGCGTAAAGCTCCGATCAAACGCAGATCCTCCAAACCCCATCGAAGAATTTCGCCCTCCCACAAGAAATGCGCGAACCGCGTGCCCTCTATTCCGGCGAATCACGGCTGGAACTGGTACGCCAGCGAGGAGGCACTCAAGCATGGCTGGCAGCCAGGACTCGTGCGCAAGCCGATTAAAAGAATTATGAAATTCTTCTTGCAGGGCTCACCTGAGAAATTGGCAGCTGAGAAGTGCAAGGAACTAATGGAGCTAGAGAAGAAAGACAAGCCGCCCATCCTCAATTTGCGCAAGAAGAACGGCGAAATCTTCATCACTTTGCGCGCCCTCGATAATCCGAATGTGACCATGAAGCCGATTGTCTTCAAGGTGGTCAAAAGTGATCTGGGCGTGGCTCTAAGTCAGATCAAGAAGAAGTTCAAAGCGAAGGGATTCCGCAAGTGCACCTGTCACAAGCCCTTGATGATGTGCGTATGCCGTGATATCTTCGAGAAGAAGTGCCTGGAGGCCGCGCTGCAGAAGGAGTGCAAGCGTCGGCATATGGAAAGCTGTGTCGCTCAGTTGGTGCTGACAGACACCAGCGACAGTGAGATGGAATTCGACTTTGATGTGTCACCGCCAGCGGCATCGCCGCAGAAATACGTCAAGCCCAAGACGCATAACCATGAAACGCAGACGGCCGCGGCTGACTTGAAAGTAACTCCGAAATATCCAACTGTGATCCATCCCTATTGGCGAGTCTACGACTGTGCTGCAGGCGATCGGTACACCGGCACAGCATTTGGCAAGCCTGGTGAGCCTGTGTTTGAGGATGGCCTTTTTGGCCACGGAGGCGGTGGACCACACGGGGCCTCTGCGGCTCCGGGTGGAAGACCGAAGCCACCCGGCATATGGGGCTCCGGCCACGGCGGGCCCATGCGTGGTGGCGCCGGTGGTGGTAGAGGTGGTGGCGGAAGAGGCGGTGCTGGCGGTGGCATGGGTGGAGGCCCTGGCGGCGCTGGTGGAATGGGAGCACTATTCGACAAATCATTCCCCGGCCTTAAGAAGAAGGGAACTGGGAAGTCCGCACCCATCCCTGTTCGCATGCGTGATAAAGATATTAAAGCAGTTAAAGATGCTAAGCAAGCGGCTAAGGATGCGATTAAAAATGAGATTGCACGGAAAAAGAAGGGTATCGATCTTATTCAGTATTTGAGAGAAGATGGCGCCCTGCCTAAGCCTTGGGATCCAAACAATCCTCAGCCAAAGAACCCGAAGCCGATCCCGCCCGTCGTGGCACCCGATGGACTCACTTACGAGGAACACAAGAAGCAGCTCATGAACTCGATGATTATGCCGCCGCTCGAGACAATGCCGCGGCTGGGCAGAGGCTACGACCCCTGCCAGTACTACAATTCCTGTATGACCCCGTGCTGCTATCCGTGCTGCTACTGCCCGTATTAGAGCTAATCAAGATGAGAAACTAACGCACGTCCCCATCAGCAACACCAACCATACATTTGCGGCTTATTTGTATTCAGCGCCGATTTATGTAAGCAGTTTAAGCCTCATTTGGTGCAGCTATAACTGCACTACATGGGGACGTCACACACTCGCCCTGCATATGGTGCATCAGCTGGAAGTGTATCTAAAGACGGTGTGTCTGGAAATGGGGACGAGGCCCTCAATACAACAGTTAGCCCTCCATGTGATGAGCCAAATTCGTTGATCTCGACGTCCATGTCCTCCTTGCCTATTTGGCAATATTTCATCTTTTATCGCGGCAAATGAATCAAGTTTAATTTTACATTTGGATAACCAAATTTTCACCATTTTTTATGTAACAGACGACAAATTTTTATACATTTAATAATAAAAGTTTTTTTCGGATGCAAATCATTTAACAGGGCATAATGAATCGAATGAATTCGGAATAAGTCATTTCATAGACTTTAAATATGTCGTATTGATTTCTTCCGATTCATACTAATCGAAAATACAGTAATATATATTATTTGTTAAATATTTACTTTACAAGAAACATATTGATTAAGCCCATGAAATTAGGACAGACTAAGGCGGCCAGGCTCATGTATTAACTACAATTGTACACATGCTTAGCATTGCGAATATGTAAAGCCCAAGCAGCTTAGGCCTCATTCTTGATTAGCATTCCATCAATGTGTTTCCCTACTCACAATTCGTATACTGAAACAAGAACAATAATCAATTATAAGTAGGCACTCGGACTATTGCTGTTTCAATGAGGGAGGGAAGGGATGAGTTGAGTTGCGTAAATTAGACTCTGCAATCAAGCCTGCTTAATGACCCGCGCTCTAATGCGGAAAAAGGAAAAATCTGAACAACAAAGAGTTCTCTAATCGCAAGTATGCAAATATGAGATATCCTTAATCAGTTGCCTCTACGCTTATGAGCCTTTTAGCCTAAGCTTCCTCTTATACACACAAATATTTAATCACGCTCCCCGAAGGCGCTTTACACTTTACATTTATTTCCATTTTCTCAGAATTACTCTAAATTTCTGTGAATATATTTGAATTATTTATTAATTATTTTTACCTATGTTGTAATGTGTGAAATATTAAAGCACTTGTAATATACTCAATTCATTTTAAAGAATCTTGAAGCGATTTTTTAAATTTCATCTCATATTTATATTAAATAACACATAGAAGGACTGACAGACAGACATTCTTAGACAGACATAGCTGCAGAGCCTTGAGCAAACTTATACATATACATTCGCCCAATGGCAATATATACCTGTTCACGCATTTGCAATACTTTGAGGGCATAAACAGGTGAGGCTGAAGGAGTGCGACCCAAAAAGGTATCAAATTTACGCAAATACAAAATTTTAATTAAAGGCATTGCGGCAATTAAGCAAAAAGTCGCAGGGGAAAAAAGTGACTAAGAACGAAAGCTTAAGTCTACAACAAATACCTGCTGGCAGAAATTGTAAGCAAGAAGAAGAATTATTCAAATGGTCAGCGTGGGAGCGTGACCCTCCCTCACACTATATCACACCATGCCCTAGGGATATTTGCGATAGAAAATAAATCATTTTGATAAATAAATATAAGTTTACCTACTAAATTATTCACATTCATGCGAAAATATTATTTTTCCAATATTCAACTCCTCGATTTTGTTTGTTTGCAAAAATTATGGTTAGACGCCTGCAATATTCGTAATATTCATACAATACATAAATATTTCAACAAAAATCCTTACACCTTGTATTCTGTAAATATTTATGCTTTGTGCATAATAAACATGAAATGTACATTTTTAATGACTCAACGACACACAATATCATTATGCAAACCTGGAAAAGAATCAAGAGTTCTGGTAAAGGGCTTATTAAACATTAAGCCTCAGCGGCAAACATGTGACATTGAGAGTCGCGACCAACAGAAAGCAAAAGGTCAAAATTTAAGGGTCAACATTATGAAGTCTTCATGCAAAATATTTGTTCATTTGTTCGCTTCGCCACAAGAGGTCAAAAGGCGAACAGATTTTAGCGCAAAGCGAAACGAACACAAAACACGAAATACTCTAAGGTAAAAAGAAAATATAATTTGACGTTTGATAAGGGATCTAAAGTGGTATATATTTTTGTTACTTGAATTTAATTGGTAAATTTTTTAATTTGTTCAACTTCTGGCAGTTTAATAACAACTCAATATTAATACTAAAAATTTAATGTGGTTTTATGATATATGAGCTCCATTGTTAAGCATCACACACCAGTTGCTTGCATTCACACAATAGTGTAAATCTGCTCGTCATGCCACTCTCGAGTCCAATTTGTGCCAGTCATGCCAGTGTCCATACGGCCTGGCAGCTAACATCCGTTTCCGGCGTCAGAGTCAAAGCTTTTATCAGATTTTCATGTAAAATGCGGCAAGACCAACACCTGAAAGCGTGAAGCACAATCGCGAAAGAAAACACCGTCCAACATGGACAGCCGCATTAGGAAGAAATGAGAATGTTTAAAAATAAAGTCAAGTCGTTTGGGTACTGACCAAGACACTTTATCATCATTTGTCAATTAGTTACGTGAGTGCCAAAAACCGGCCGGAGATGCGTATTGAGCGTGTGGCCTGGGGCCGGATCCATTAGGCAGAGTTATTGTTTCATAATTCATTATAATTATGACTGTAGTTGTGTAAATGCCCCAAGGCCCGTCCGTTGCCCCATCATTTTGAAGTTCCCTAGAAGTTGTGCCCACCACGCCCCCTCCCCAACTCCCCGCCTTAATCTGTCTAACTCATTTGCAAAAGTTTTGCAGCTCTCGCTCTTGCGCTTCTGGCACTTTTTGCAATTTGAAGGCAGCTGCGCGTGTCGCTGTTACCATTTGCCAGCTGTCGGCTAGCCGGTTGCCATTTTGGCCAGTTGGCAGTTCGCAGTTAGCCGTTCGCAGATTTCTGTTTTAGCTTTGCCAGCCCGCTGAGCCAAATGCAATGCGATGCGATTGCAACAACACAACAAGCGAAAAGAGGGAGAGATGTAGTTGCTAGCTATGCGACACCTGCTGCTCCCACTGAAAACAGCCAGCTGGCTGCATCAGTATTCGATTTTGGCTCTCTCTTTTTTTTTTTTTTTTTTGTCATAAGAGAAAGATTTGAAATGGCAAATGGTATTTGACCAAAAATTCGAACGTTTGCGGTTCAGAAAATTCCCAATTTTAATTGAAAATTCGATTGGCGCATTTTAATAGCCAGAGCCATGCAAGCGGCTAGCAGTGGACGGCAACAGTCGCATGTTGGCATGCAACTTCAATGCAAACGTTGGCCTAATTAATGCAAAAGTGCTCGAAGCGACGCTGTGCCAACGCTGCGTATGCGGAACAAACAGCGTCAACTATAACTATGCAGCGTAACCGGAAAATGTTAGTGAATTCATGTGTGTGTGTATTATGCAACTATTATGTCCAGGAAAATACAAACACACATTTTGTAAAGCAATTTGCAAAACGAGAAAATGAAAACAACGGCAAATAGTAAAAGCTTACATACAAGAGTTCAATGCTGAGATACCCCTCATTGGATTTGTGTGAGTTCTTTAAATGAATATCAGTTCCAAAGCTAATTCAAAAAAAAAATTGATTTAGTATTACTACTATTACTACTCTAGGGTAAAAGAAACCGCACACAAATTCTATAAATGTGTAAAAACCGATGTTAGAGAATGAACAAAAATAATAAAAGAAACTTTTGCTGAAAGGTCAAATTGCAAAATTTTTAACAGTACGAGGCTTTTAAACTATCGAGCGAATTTTTCAGTCTTTGACAGGCTTTCAGTTTTTCTGTTAAAGTATTTTGTGTATAATTTTGTAATTTTTATTTCATTGCTTAGTCTTTATAGCTTAATTATATATACTATAAATTAAAGAACTTATTTCTTATGCATAAGGTAATGTTTAAAATTATGATATGGTTTGTAAAGAATGTCAGAGATTAATGGACAAAAATAATTTAACATTTAAATTCAGTATATTACATACTTTAAAGACTCAACGTTTCTTGTTGAATTTCCAACAGCTTAAGTTCATTAAACAGTTTTGCTTAGCCCGCATGACCTTTAATTAGGTTGGGCTAGAGGGTAAAACAGGAGTTAAAAGTCGAAAGAGAAAAGTTCTAGACTAAAGCGTTAAAGTGGTTTGCTTTGGCGATTCGAGCGCTAAGTTTTTTGCGTGACTTTGTTGGCGAAGCATTTTTTCTGCTCCCTGGTAATTAAAACAAGGTGGCTAATAGCAGAAATATCGAGTTTATTTTCTAGCTTTATTTCTTTAATATTCAAAGCGTTTAACTTTCACATTTTGCTACGTCCTCAAGGCAGTTGCACTGAATCCACATTTAATGAACAAAGCTGCCCGAAAGGTTTGCCCGAGAGCTACCATATAGTGTCGCCAGTTTGTTTATGGGTAAAGGGGCAGGCCCTCGGCGCTACGCATCGGCGTAAAAAGTGCTGAAAATAAAACTTTTTAATTATGCGTTTTTTGAATGCACAGGCATTCCCACTGAGACCGGGGGGCGTGCTTGGGTGTCATCCATATGAGCTGCAGGCGAGGTCGTTTGACACAGCGCTCCGCAAAGTATGCAATAAAATATGCATGCAAACATACGCACGAATCGCCATGCTAAAGCATTTTTATTATATTTGCATAAAATAGGATAAACCGAAAATGCTTGAATTTCATTTTCACATTTTATCAAATCAGAACAGCAGCAGCAGCAGCTGTAGCATTTCGTTCCAATGACATAAAACTATTTTATTTGCTGCCTGTATTTTCGGCCAGGAATATAAATATTTTTAGCCACACAAATGCGTTGTCAAACAACAGTAAAAACAAGCTTAAATACCCGAACAACTCTTTGACCCAAAACGGAATTTTAAATAAAAAAATACATCAACTTTTTTAAGCTTCTCTGTTTTATAGTGGAATATTGATATTTTTCATTTGCGTACGGCCATTTAACTAATATTCTATGGCAGAAAACTAATAGAAATATTACATTTCGCGCTCTCAATTATTATTTATCATTATAAAGAGTTCGAAATGACGGCATAAATTCAATTAATTACGAATACACTTATTATTCAATTTGCTGGCTGGCTTGCAACCAGAACCAACTCTTTTCGACTCGCCACAAATGGGAAACAAAAAAGTATCCACAGCAGTGCGCACAAGTGGGTCACACACAGACTCACTCATACATACACCCACACACATACACATGTTCAGAGTCACTCAAAGAGCGAGAGGTTTTTGCATGGCTGAACACCGCATGAAATTCAATTAAACAAATTTATTCACAGTATCTCAGATGATATTAACCACAGCATTCGCATTGCATAATGAAAGTATCTTTTAGTGGGTAGGTTAAATCCTTAATCTGTGTATCTTGAAAGCTAATAAATGCTTTTAAATAAGCACTTTCATTGCGTCTGGCTAGAGCAAACTCAATTGCCAACAAACATTCCTAGCATGGAACACATGGAACGAGTCATTGACTGAATGTGTTTGATGACACAGAACATCGTTGCCATCGCCTGTGGCTTGTCTGTCAGTCTCTCTATCTATCTATCTGTCTGGGTGTCTGTCTGTCCAACTGTCTGTCGATGTCTTGACAAATGTTTTGCTTACTTGCAAAATATTTACACAGCAGCAACAGCAAAAATAATAGCAGCTACTGTCCAGCAATATACATATATCCGACCTCGTTGCGAAAGTGCAACGCATTAAAAAAGAAAATGTGCTTAAATGTTTTCATATTTGGAGTCAATGGACAGAAAAATGAGTTAACTTTCGCAATTGCACACAAAATGTTTAAGGCAAATAAAAATTCAGTCAGCAGAAGATGTTGCCAATAAATGAATATTAAAATAGTAATTAAGCTTCAGAATGAGTTAAGTCAAGCTGTTAAGTGAAAATATAAATAATAATTAAATAATATTCTCCATTATTAGCCTATTTTTCTATAAAAATACAAATTTATAATGAAATATATATAAGATATTATCTCTAGTAACCTTTCTTTGATTATCAGCATATTCTTAGCTGAGTTAATAACAAAAATTGGTATATAAACTGCGGTAACATGAAACAAAAACTTTTTGAAAGCTTTCACAAAGTGCAGAAATTTGCTGCCTTCTTGAAGTCTTCTGTGGTTTCGGCAAAGAAACTTGTATATTAATTATTAGATATACCTGATAGAAATATATCCAGTAGAGTCTAATTGAAAAGAGAAGTCATTATACCATTGAATATGTGTCCAGAATATGATTCCATACAAATATATGAAATTGATTGCACTCATTTATAAAATATACAGTTCTTTTTCATATATCATTTAAAATTTGCTAACAAAAAATTCAAAAGAACATCCGCTTTTATGACATCTTCGCATATTCTGCCCAGAACTTAAGGTATCTCTGAGTTAATCATATTCGACTAACACTCTCTCGTTGGATTTGAACTTTGCTTTCTTAGTCAAAGCTTAGATTACAGCACAAAGACTGCTGAAATACCCAAAGGGCTATTTATTTCATGCCTCATTAGTAGGCGTTCGACTAATTCTTGTGAAAATCAATTTAATGAAACTCTCATAAATGTTAATTAAACTGAAATAATAATAAAGCCATGTGAAATTCGGCATCTATATTTAAAATTTGAATATGTTGATTGAGGCTGCAGAGAAACCGCATTAAAATATAAGTATGATGCACTCGCAGTTTGTTATCTTATGCCAGTATGGAAATACACAAAAACAAAAGGACCCCAATAATAATTCCCACGCCAGAAATCTCCTCCTCTCGCCAACTAAAGTACACAGAAACTACTGCAAAATTTGCGTGGACTCAACAGTCTTTGTTTGCAGTTGCGGTTGTCATCGTCGTCGCCGTCGTCGTCGTCGTCGTTGTTGAAAAGGCTTCATCTGAGTTTCATGAAGTTGAAAGCCACAAAATTAGTTTTTCTTTTGGATTTGCATAGATTAAACTGCAATGGAGTTCGCGTTTTTTGGTCAGACGAAAAGTATGTCATAATGATGTGGTCATTGTTGTTTGTGCTGTTGCTTGGAGATTTTTTTTTTTTTTTCGAGCTGCACAAGCTTTTTGTTGCTTGTTAAGCTGTGTGGTTTGTATTTTATTTTTACCGAATCTTTGGAATATATATATACTTCTTTTAAGTACTGTGTACTGTGTACTGTGTACTTTGTGTTTGTATTTGTATTTATCTTGGCTATGGTCAAGACTTGTCACAACTTTGGCTTAGACCATTTTCAATTTTTGGCCAGACTGTCAACGCCTGCGATTTGGTCGATAAATTGTTAGCGATTTGCTGTGGCTGTGGCTGCCTGGCTTTTCTTCCCCCTCTTATCTACTCAGTTTTCCTCGCTGAGATTTCTCCTGATTTTTGGCCCAAACTTTGCGCCGCACAAAAACTCATTTAAAGTTTTAAAGTGTAGTTTTTGTTTTTTTTTTTTTTCGCTTTCGTACTTTTGTTGTTGATAGATGCCTAACTGACTGGCAGCCAAACCCTTGCGACCATGCTGAGCTCTTAAAGTTTGGCTGCAGCCAGTTTCACTGGCTGGATGTGTCAGCAATGGGGATTAGGGCAACGCGTAACTTACTTCACCTCTATTATTTTTGGCTACCCTCGAGTTAAGGTTCACATGCGGCAATCGTAGGGAATGTTGGAAAAAAGTTTCTTCTAAGTCAAGTACTTTATAGCTGAATTTCGCTTTATTCTTATTATAGCAAAAAGAAATGTGATTTATATTTACATATGTTGCTTATCTACAGTTTGCAAAAAGCGTTTTTATAGATGCATCCAAAATTATTAACAATAAGCCAAGTCTGCATGGCCCCATAACTATTTACTCTAAATATTACAAAAATGCTACTCAAAACTTGGAGCCTTGCCCACAGGCCATTTGATCGCCTAATCCGCTTTTTTATCACTTTGGCGACCTTCTTATTGCGTAGCCCTGACAACGAAAAGGGAACGACCGCAAATAAAACTTGTTGATAGTTTGCAGACAGCGACTGGGAGATTTTGCGGGCTTTAAGCCAACTTTAAAAAGGTACACGTGCCGTGCCAGCTGGCAGAAGCATTTCAGGCTCAATCGAAAAAATAGCAAAACAAAAAAAGAGAGAAAGAAAAAAATGTAAGGTTTCGGAAGTTGGGTCGCATCGCATGCCTGCCCAAATGGCATTTTGATTGATGTGTGGCACAAAACAAAAGGCTGGCAATTGACAGACGGCATGTGAAAATTCATTCGCCTATCACAATATTTTTAATACCCTGTACAGGCGGACAAAAAGCAAGTCAGCAAAGCAAACCCAAATTTTAGCAGCTGCTCGGAGAACTGGAGCTAGCGCAATAAATCAACTTTTAGTTAGTAACTCCCAAACTTTTCAATTGCAAACTCCTAAATGTAATATTTATATGAAAAGTTAAAGAAATAGATGCGCATTGGTATCAGACAACACTGAGCTCTAGAGAAGATTTTTCAAATGGAATTCAAGTTATTAAAATTATAAAAGAAAATATTCAAATCAACGTTTTTTCTACAGCAGATTCATTTTATTGCGAATCCGCAGTTCAGTCATAATTTAGGTTTAGTGTGGATAATTTTTCATCAACTTTGAGCATGATTCTGAAATCTTAGACACTCCTTCCCAAGTATAGGAGAACTATTCAATGCAAACAGAATTTGCTTTTGAATGACTGCAACCAATGTACAGGGTTTGCAGTACGCTGTGCATTTCTTGAGCATAAATATTTGAATGTGCTGCCAGTGGAACTAGGTTATGCTCGTTACTGACTTTTCATAACACGAACTGTCAATTTTTTTTCTGTTGACTTCTATTCATTAGGCATGCAAAATCTGAAAAAAAACGACTGACAAATAATTGTAAATTCAAACAGAAATATTTTCTATCAATTGAAAACGGTCAATGAAAGCCCGAAAAATACGACAATTTCGGTGACCAGGCAATCAGAAGATGCCAAGCGTAGCTCCTGCCTAGCCCAATTTTCAATTCCTTTGGCCACTTAAACCGACAAAGGCGCTGAAAATACTGAAAATCATTTTGCAAAACCAACAAAAAAAAAGCTCAGAGCAGAGGTTCACAGCAAGAAATGTTTGCTGAATAAACGCAGAGCGCAAACGCGAAATACGAGCGAGAGTCAGAAACAGAGAGAGAGGGAATGTGAGCGAGAGAGCGATAGAGAAAGAGAGAGAGAGATAGAGGGAAAGAGAGCGTAGCAGAGAAAAGCATATGCAAATCACTTTAATGGGGAAAAGGCACACCTGTTGTTGTTTTCCAGCGAGTTATCAGTTGTCAAGTGTGATATGTATGCCAAGCCAAATCGAATTGACAATGCATTGAGAACATTGTTAATTCATGCAAGCACTAGAAATCACAATAGATAATAAGCAATTAACTGATTAAATTATCTTGTGTAATATTCAAATTATGTAGGTACAAGTCATAATATAGTTAGATCAAAACAAGGCTTATGGACAGATTAAAATTCGTGTGCTAAATAAATAATTTGGGAACCTATCAATTGCCATTTTATGAGTTAGAAATAGGCTGAAAATCGAAATATACAGAGCATTAAAATTTCATGGAAAAGGATGCCACAAAAATATTTGATAATAATAATAATATTTGAAACTAAATTTCCCAGTACAAAAATCAAGTGAAATTTTTCAATCTACTGCTCAAGGATTTTCTACATCTTTCAAATATCTTTCAACAATTCACAAGTAGTCGTCGATCTAGCTATATAACTTTTTATAAAACAACTCAAACATTCTGCACTATTCATCATTTGCAAGACCTTTGGCTAACCGAGGAAATGGCATCAAATGATTGCGGCCAACAATATCCATACGCTGTCTATCACAGTCGACCTGAAGTGAATGTCGCTATTGGCTATGGGGACTATGGCTCCGATGCCGAGGCCCAGGCGAAGGGTTTGACCTTTGACAATGAGAGCATACGCCGCGGATTCATACGCAAGGTGTACATGATACTCCTGGGACAGCTGGTGATCACATTTGGGGCTGTGGCTGTGTTTGTGTACAGCGAAGACGCCAAGAACTTTGCGGCCCAGAATCTATGGCTCTTCTGGGTGGCTATAGGAACCATGCTGCTGACCATGCTGTCCATGATCTGCTGCGAGAGGGTGCGCCGCGAGACGCCCACCAATTTCATATTTCTGGGCATGTTCACTGTAGCTGAATCGTTTCTGCTTGGAGTCGCGGCCAGTCGCTTCGCTCCCAAGGAGGTGCTAATGGCAATTGGCATAACAGCCGCCATTTGCTTGGCCTTGACGGTGTTCGCCCTTCAGACCAAGTACGATTTCACAATGATGGGCGGCATTCTGATCGCTTGCTTGGTGGCCCTCTTATTCTTTGGAGTCTTGACCATCTTCATGCACGGCAAAATCATATCGCTGATGTATTCATCGGCCGGCGCCGTGCTCTTCTCCATCTACCTGGTCTACGATACTCAGCTAATGATGGGCGGCACTCACAAATATGCGATTAGTCCCGAAGAATACATATTCGCGACGCTCAATCTCTACTTGGATGTCATCAACATATTCCTCGATATACTCAACATTCTGGGCATAACTCAAGATTAAATTTAAACCAATAGCACATCAACGGCCACGCACACAGTGAGAGAGCGAGGGAGAGCGGGAGTCAAAAAGAAATTATGCAAATATTATATTTTTACTTTTACACAGACATTTAATTGTAGCATTTAAATGAGCAATTTAACAAATTGCATAAAACGCACACAAACAACCGCACATAAATCACACACACACCCATACACCCACACACATGCAATCAAATATGCCAATTAAGTTATTAGTAACGAGCAATAAAAATGTCAGGGCAATTCCAGTATTAACATAGGGCAACCACACACAGAACTACTGTGTATCATGTTTGTAATATCCTGCACTCCGCACAGCACGACAACTGGGTATTCCGGACACGAGTTGGGATGAGACATCTCATTTATATGTGCATATATGTATAAACTTTTATGAGCCTGTATAGAGTTGTAGATGGAACAGCTCCCATTACAAAGTATCTGGTAGATTGGCACTGCTGACTGGAGCTGTATTTCCTCGAATACTACTCGTACAATGGGTGACAGGCGGCATCCAGCTGACTGGCTCATATATAAATCAAGTGTGCTTAGGCACAGTTGCTGGTCACCTAGTTGCCGGTATACATTTAATTAAGAATTGACAGCCGTTGACAGTTGACATATCACTGGATAAGGCTGTAAATACAGCTAGCTAGCTGCCTTGTTTCGCAGCAGCAAACGTTTCGTCTGCCCATCAATAAAATTCAGCACACGCATCTTCGACTGCTCGCACTCGCCAGGTACGCCAAAAGTTTTCGCTGCGTGTCTGCAAAGTTTCTATGCTGCCAGACTCTATCTCTTATTCCCCATTTCTCTCCGTCTCGTTCTCTATGCCTGTATTGCTCTGTCTCTGTTTCTCTGCAGTGTCCAAGCAACAATCTCATATCGTTATTCTGTTTGTCGACATTATAGTTTTTCTACCGTTTAAGTGCCATTAGACCTCTATGTGTTTCCTGTCAATGCGCTTGTAACTTTGAACACACACACACACACACACACATAGACATGCACATGCATACATATACACACGAATAAGTAAATAGGCAGAGGTATAAAAAGTTTATGATACTTAAAGGTCAGTTTGTTGTTTTTTAAAAAACAGTATTTACATTATAAGAAGAATTGAACATAAAAGTGAATTAAATAAACTTTACCTCTAATTAAACATTTTCTTTTGTTATTTTAGTATGAAAATCTGTCATAATATTCGTATCATCTAAAAAAAAAAAAACAAATTTGCTAAAGTTAATTGATTGCAATTTTTAGATAAACTTCAAAACTTCCCAAGGCAAAAGCGATATTTATTATTTAATCCTGCTTCACCGAAAAATCAATTTCCATTTCTAAAACTACCAGACATGTCGAAACTTACCTAGCAAAATAAGAAGTCAACTCTCTTTTATTATATATGCAAAAAGCAAAATGCATAAAGCTGAGCTTATGGCACAATTTTTGTTGCTCTAAATACTTCGCTGTTGACATTGGCATCAAATTGTTTTATCCTGCAGCTGCTGGCAAAACTAAGCAGTAAACATTGCCAGGCCACACTCGATTTAGGATTTGTTTTGCAAGGCAAAAGGTACACAAGGTGGGTAAATGAAAAATGCCAAGAACGAAAAAAATGGAAAGTATCTGCTAAAAAATGTAAGATAGAAAGAAAAGGAAGCGAAGAAAAACAGTCGAAATAGCTGCAAAAAGCGCGCACAGACAAAACTGCATTTGCAACACACAAACGAAGAGCTCAACGGACGTGGGACTAAACAACTAGAAGATACCCATTAGAATGAAGAATCTTTACTAATGACAATAGAATACCAGAATACCAGTATATTTTTCTAGGCTCTCTTTTATGGATAGAAAATTACTTAATATAAAAAAGTCGAACGATGGGGTTCTCTGAATAAATTGATAACTTCCACATACAATTCGTAATATTGCATTATACCCTCTCTCACTTAGTGGAGCATACAAAATGAGCTTTGGTTGAGGCAAACAAAATTGGCAATCAAAGTTACGCCATTTTTCCTCTTTCCTTCAGCCATAGCCAGCAAGTTTTGGCATTTAATGGAGAATCAAAAGTGTTTTGCAAAAATCAATTACTTGCCAGTTGAAAGACGTTGGAGAACATTTCAATGTAGTTAATTATAATCAGCTAACGAGCAACTAGAAAACGAACTTAAAGCTGGACGTTAGTTACAAATCGGATGCTGTCAATGTTTTGTATATATATATATAAATATAGATATTTTGTTTTTTTTTTTTTCGGTGTTCCTTTGGCAAAACAGAAATTCATGGAAATTTTCAATCGCATTTTCCGTAAGCCGCTTAAATGGCCGCTTGAGCCGTGGGGATAATAGCTAGCAAACATCTGACAATTTTAACATGGACTCAGTACTGGGTTGGACATGGACATGGACATGGACTGAGGCACGTGATAAGCATAGCAAAGTAACATTCAAATCCGATGCCAGAAAGTGACAAACAAGCAGAAAACAGAGCATGGCCAGGAGACAGAACATGCTAACAAAGGCACTGAGCCTCTGGAGCATGGACAATTTAACGGACTTATTTATTTATGAAAGCCAAATGCATTTGGGGCACTCGACAATGGAAATTGTGACCGAATCATGAAATTGAAATTGCCAGCAAAGGCAATTTGRTAGACACGCACGCACGTATAACTTGGCCATTTTGCCCGATTGGACAACAGGTCAATAAAGTTAAAATTCTAGTCTCAGACTGTTTGCTAAATAAATAGGTAAGCATAAGTACCAATGCTTTCCTAATAAATGCCTTTTGTATAACTTATTTGCATTCAGACACAAGCCAGAAAACGCAAGTCAAGTCCAAATATATAATTTGTCATAAATAGAATTGTTTGAGATGTATTATTAGTAGTACCCTTATTAGTAGTATTAGTATTAATAGTAATGGTAGTACTTATTTGTGTAGTAGTTGTAATAGTGATAAGTGGTAGTAGTACTAGTAGAAGTATTACTTGAAGTCGTAGTACTATTAGTAATAGTAGCAATTGTAGTTGAAGAGAAGTAGGATTAGTAGTAGCAGTAAAAGAAGTAGTAGTAACAGTTGAATAAGAAGTAGTATTCGTATCAGTAAAAGAAGTAGTAGTAGTAGCAGTAAAAGAAGTAGTAGTAGTAGTAGTAGCAGTAAAAGAAGTACTAGTAGTAGCAGTAAAAGTAGTAGTAGTAGTAGTAGTAGCAGTAAGAGAAGTAGTAGTAGTAGCAGTAAAAGTAGTAGTAGTAGTAGCAGTAAAAGAAGTAGTAGTAGTGTCAGTAAAAGTAGTAGTAGTAATAGTAGCAAAAGTAATAGTAGTAAAAATAATAGCAATAGTAGTAAAAGTAATAGTAGTAAAAGTAATGGCAATAGTAGTAAAAATAATAGTAGTAGGAGTAGTAAAAGTAGTACAAGACAACTTGTTACAGTCAACAATTTACCTTGCAATTCCTGATTGCAATTGATTTAACAATAATTTGCTTATAAAGCGACAGTTTAATGTCATAAGCCTAAACAATCCCGAGTAACGCAATTAAAAGAAAATCTGATATGAATTTAAATTATGTCACAAACAAATACTTCGCTTGCAATTGAAAATTAAATTGTTTGACACCATATTTTTTATTATTGATGGAATGGAATTTGCATATGTAACAAATTTAAGCCTTTTTGTTTTTATGTAAATTTTTAGTGCTCTGCATAAATTCGTGTCCGACAGAATAAATTATCGAGGAAATGCAATAAATGAAAATATTTTACAGCAATAAAAAATGTGGATTTTATATACATATGTATATATTGTATATTGTATGGGAAAATATTCTCTTTAACAGTGAYTAATTAACACATATTTTTACTAATTAGAAATTTATATTTATTGAAATAGATTTTATATAAATTTAATTCCCATCAGTAAACCCTTTGTATAAAAACTAAAGTCAGACCATTGGCCCAAATAGCTGAACGTGCTAATCACTAGTTATTTTGCAATTATAAATGCAAGAGTGTTTGAATGCAAATAGGTAAGAGCTTTGATTTAGTACAGCGAACACGCCCACCGGCAACACGCCCCCAAGCAGAACAAATCGCTGGGAAAATTAAAGAGGCCAACAAAGACCACATCGACCCACTCGCCTCATATGTTAGGTGGGTTAATAACCGAGTTGCATGAAAATTAATTGCGAAACATTTAAGCCGGGCGGCTAAGTGCTAAGGTATGGTAGGAAGCAGGTGGGTTGAGTTGCCGTGCAAACTGTGGGTCTGAATGTACCTTAGGTTAACCCCATCTTATGAGAAATAATTAAAAGTTTCAAATAAGACTTGCGGCCAGATGAATATCAGACTGGACCTGCGATTTAATTAGCCAAATAACTAGTTTAACATTCGAACTTTGGCGCCCCGCGTAAGACTCTAAACACCTGCTCCTTGCAGCTCTCGCACAGAACCTCAAAAGTCAGCTTTAATTTGCCCTGGCAGCAAACAATAAAGAAAATACGAGCGAGGAAAAGCAGCAGAGGGAGAGAGAGCGAGTGAGAGTGAGAGGCGTATAGGAAAGCTGGCTTCCCCGTGCTTGAGTAGGCGACTTGAGAGTGCTGCACGCAAAATAACTTAAAAACCGCAAAGTGGCTGGTAAAAACTATTTAAGTTTATGCGATAAGGACAATAAAAGCAGAGCAACAGGGTGGCACATGCCTGTCCTGTAGCTTCACTCCCTCTCTCTCTCTCTCACGCTCACTCTCTTCCGTCGTTTTTGCACTTAGCCCACTCCACAAACATTTGCTGTTTCGCTTCCACCAATTAAAAGTGCTGCATACTTATAGGCAACCGCAATATTATCATTGTAAGTGTGTGTGTGTGTGTGTGTGTGCGTGTGCCTGTGCGTGTGTGCAGTTATGTAATTATGGTAATTAAAAGAGCACCGACTTGTCTTCCTCGTGCCTTATTGTATAGTGAAGCACCTTTCTGGCTTTTTAGATTCTCCTTCAGTATAATTTTATTTCATCACGTAGCTGGAAAAGCACATTGAACAAGCCATAGCAGACACAAGTTTTGGCCATTAAAGCTGGCTACAGATAAACATTTTATAGCTGCCTGTACGTACACCATACCCAACTATTTTCCCAAAGTTTTCTTGACTTTTGAATGCTTCTCTGGTTTAAATAGTATGACACGGAAAACCAATTTGCTAAAATAGTTTCAATAAATCTTTGTGAAAGTCGGCCTCTTGATTAAATATGAAATATACATATATATGTTTTGCTAAAATGTTATTATTATATTTTGTTATGATTGAATTGAAATCAAGGAGCAGGGAAAGAGCAATTTTATTAAGGGGCAAAGCGGCTTAGTTCTTTTTTGCATTCAAAGTGTTTGAGAATATCTATAATTAGAAGGAATCACAAAAAAGAGCAGGTGAGACACTGCAGCAGATGTGAAGTTTACCTAACAAATTTAAGCCTGAAGTTTGCTTAAAAAACAACAGACATAAAGTTAAACATGGTTCGCATATATGATATATCAATACCCAACAATTTTTATATATATAATTTTTATAAACTGCATTATAACTGTCAATATATGTTGTTTATATTTCCATACAGTTTCTTTGAAATATTTTCATCAAGTCTCTTATAACAGTATCCCCAATTGCATAATAATTGTGATTTGTAGAATATACTAGAATGCACGCATATTCACATAGAATACAGCCCATGCGTGTTTGAATGTATGTGTGCACGCGAAGAGGAAAAATGCTTAGCGTTCTTCGATCTGCACGAGGCTAGCTCTCTAGCTCGTGTAGCTTATAGAGATCGTCGTGTTGACACATATCTGTTCGTATGTCTCTCTGGCAGTGTCTCTGTCTGTGTACCTAACAAGAGTAAGGAACGAAGAATGAGGACCGAAGGTCATTTAAAACGAAATTAGAGTGCTTCAGCAGCAGAGAGTGTTCCCATTGGTCACTTAAGGCTCGACTGACATCGGGCTCAACATTTGAGAGCGACTAAGTGATTGAGTTAAAGTTGTCCTATATAAAGGGCAGCAGCTGCAGCATTTCTTCAGTCACCCAGGCCTGGTGAGGGTCAGTCGCAGTGCAGTAAAGTGAAGTGAAGTGAATTGAGTGACCGTTCAGCTAAGCATTAAAGGCTAAGTGGAAATAATTGGAGGAAATACTAAGAGGAAATACTAAGAGTAAATACTAAGAGGAAATACTTAAAGGAAATACTTAGTTATATTACAATTAAATTATATTCCAAAAGATTGTTACATATATAATCCAGATATGCGGAAGCGAATGATGAAAGCAAAATGAGCTGATAATAAAGTCAGAAACATATTAACTATCATGAGAGTTTCGACTTCGCTATAATAAACAGGTTTGCATTTTAAAGAGAAATGCCAATGGTCGCCAGTTTAAATTAGGCGCCCTAACTAACAAACCAATAACTCTGTGATGATAGCTTTGCCATACAAATAAACCATAATACATATGTGCAAACATATACATATATGTGTATATATTTATGGCTAATGCTGGCGCCACAGCTGGGCTTTCACTTTTCGTGACATTTGCTGAAACGGTAGCACCATCGGAATCAAAGCTAAGTAACGCCAGAGGCGACTCGATATGCGATAAGTATTCACCTTTCACACAACTCCCCGGCTGCATACGAATGTGGCCATTAATCGTGTTCGCTTCTGGTGGAATAGAACGAAACGAAACGAAAATTGAATGCCAGAGCGTAGAGTGGCTCAAATCAGATCGCCCATTGGCGATGCGCTGAAAGCATAAGCCGTAAGCCGTACGCCGTAAGCCGTAAGCAAAACAGGTGAGAGATGCGCTGCTACAATTAAAAAATCACGAATTCGTACTCGACCCGCGCTCAAAAATGAAATCAAGCGACAACTGTTTTGATTATGTGATGTGCTTCGAATTCAATTTCAGCCTCATTTCAGTTTCATTTTTTGCATGCTCTTTTTTCTATTTTTCTAGCTTGTAAATAATTTCACATTTAAAGCGATTAAATTTCGCTTATGGCCTTGATAATGCCCAGTTGGTAACTCTTAAGAGCGCAGCGTGTTGTGTTGCTACTTCAATTATTTGGGCTTAGTTTGTTGTGATTTTTACTTCAAAAGCTGATGCACGGTTTCCTCTAGCTTGCGTAAACATCATTAGATATAGTGTATACAATGTTGTTAGGCAGGCTTTTTTTTTTTCATTGCTACTGGAAAGCTTGTGAGGCAGTGGAGTCCATGGGACGCATGATTAATTATAAATTACTTACACAGTAAAATAACAATATTTCGTTTCTATTTGGTAAATAGCTAAACTTAAGGTCAACCCGATAAATAATGGAAAGTATTTAAGCGCTTCACGCCAGTTGTGCGTACAAAATATGGAAGTAGGAAACTAGAAAAAAATATATTATTATTGGTCTGGTTTTTCATTTATATATATTTTTTATTAGACTGAAAGGCATTATTATTATATTAGAATAAAAGATGTAGGGATTAACATTAATTTATTAATTATATATTTGGAAGGTGGAAAATCTCAAATTACTAAATTAAATAAAACAAAATAAATAAAAAATAATTTGATGCCTATCGTCACTTAGTTGAGGTATTTAACACCTTTCGTCAAACTTAGGTATAAATAACCGACTGATTAATACTCTTTCTGGACAGCAACAACAACAACAACTAAAACTAAATGTAATGAAAGCCTATTATTCTTTATAAAAGTTAATCCTTAAATGAGATCAACCGGGAGCTACCTATTTAGGTTCATGCTCGTGGCAAGTCTATTGCTCATTATTGATCGATTCAATAAGAAGATAAATAGCAAATACTTTAACAAAACGAAGAATACTCAAAAATATATCTAATAATGCAATTTCTCTCGCTCCCGCTCCTTTACAGCAAGCAGCTATAACAATATTCAACAATTTACTGACAATTATAATTATCAATTATATACTACTTATACGACCAAAGCAAAAGTTTCGTAAGGGTTTCCACGTCATTCATATTCATAAATCTCAAATTGAATAAACGCTTCTGCTTACAGCGCGCAACGTTCAATTGCAATCAACAGTCGCAGAAACTCATCAATGTCAATTCAAAGTAGCCAATCAGCTAGGCTAATAATACCACAAATCATAGAAATGTTTATTATAATTTGGCCAAAGACAATAGTCAAGCAGAACCAAACAGTTCTTCAGGTATGCGCAAATATTTGCTAATTAAACATTTCTGCGCATGTTTTTCCCCCTCTCTCTCTCTCTCTCACTCTCTCACTCTTATTTATCTGGGCAATAATAATAAAATTGACATCATTGCGCGTAAAAGCATAAAATACACAAGCAAACCTTGTTATTTCTAAATGTAAATGCCTGTCAGCTGAGCATCTGCTGCGGGTGTTAGAGAGCTTCTCGAAGCGCAGCATGTCGATAGCATTGAACCCGCGCTGACTTGGCTCGGCCCCAACGACCTAGTGATCAATTAATATCAATAATATTATGAATATTATTATTAGCTGCTGCCATTAGACGATACCGGCAGCTACTTAGCAACTTCAAAGCTTCAACGCCCCAACGCCTCTACATTTAACATTTTACTTAGCCGTTATTTATTTACCTTCAATTTACGATTCATTTTGCGCAGAACGCCGTCGCCGTCGTCGCTGATGACGCTGACGACGCTTACGCAGACGCAGACAGTCGCCGTCGCCGTCGCCGTCGCCATCGCCGGCTTGGACTTGGACTTGGTAAATGAAGTAACCTGGCCTTGTCGCGCGCCAGTCTCTGCTTAACATTTGCGCGTCGCGCTTGGCTCTAAACTCAACTGCCTCAAGACTATTCGCACACAACGGCTCTGATCGCGACATTCGGCTATTATTATATATATTTGGCAGCGCGTAAATCGGCTTAAATTATAGAATCCAATTTGCCTTAAAGCCTAATCAGCGTGCCACGATTTATCAGTCAACATGTCGCAGCATAAGTTCAAAACGGTAACTGCAAAACGGGACACAAATTAAACAGTGTAAAGATAATTTAAAAATAGTAACAAACAAAAAAAAAGTGATGATTTTCAAAACAATCATCTGGCCATGGTCGGATACTATCGCAAAACTAATTAGTAGCTTGATTACCAAGCATTTTTTATATGACTACAAACTTAAGTACTTCGTATTAATGAAAATATAATACATTTTAAATAATAATCACAATAGAATAACAAAATCTAAAATAATATGTTTTGGGATTTGCCTATTTAAAATCTCGTTTTAGCCACCGTGTTGCCATTAGGCAACCAGCCTTTAGTCATTTTATATAAAAGTGTTTATAGTGTGTTATAATTTTGTATTATATGTTACTATATTTATTATATATTATAGTTATACTTTTAAAAACTCTTGACTTACAAAATTAAACCGATTTAAAAACAAGCTTAAAAATTTATTTTCATTACCATATATATAATGAATTACTAGTGTAAGCTTCTTGCTTAAATATTCTTTCTAAGCGTTAAGTATATTCCGGTTCTTGGTTAAAAACTATGTTGGATAGTGTAACAGTGGTAGCTAATTTCGTAATTACAAATTTTTTAATTTATAGTATAATGCATTTGTTTCTCTGAATTTCATATCAAATGATTACTATTGTTTTTTATTTCGCGAATTAATCTTGACAAGAAATATGTTTTAGAATTTACTTTAGATTAAACTGAAATTTTCAATATGTTCATCATATCATATCAGAGCATAATTTCTCACATTTCTAAATTTTTATGTTTATGGTATTCAGCATTATTTTAATTATATTAAAAATATTCTATACCTATCATTCCTTCCTTTCCACAGCCCGTCCATTCAGCATTGATAATATGCATGTGCTTCAGCTTGACTGTCGACAAATCGCTTGGTGCTCCAGTTTCAAATTTTGACAGGAATCTCGTGACATATCCAGAGGCCCCAAGTGAAGTGCTGCCCATTGAGCCGCTGCTGATTTATCCCGAAACGCAGGAGTTTCTCTATCAGGCGCGCACAGCGGCAGGCGATGGGGAGCAGGACATAATTTACGTCAAGTTGCTCCCGGACAAATTGGATGGCTATCGGCCCAAGCAGCAGCGACACGTGGAGAAGCCCCAGCGCCGCAAAGAGCTGAGCATTAAGGACATATTCTTTGTGAAGGCGCGAGCCAATGGACAATTCAGTCACGAGCGCCTAAAGGTCTATCGACTGCCCGAGTTCTATGCGATCACCGTTTTCCGCAACGGCGAGAAGTGAATAGGGGGAGGGTAGTTCCGAGTGCTGCATCCTTGTTGCACTTAAGCTTTTAAGTTTTTTATGTTATGTATATAAGCCGCTATAAATAAATGCCTCTGGAGCTGTTCAAATACTGCCGAAAGGCTCTTATCAGACACGCTTTGGCGAGACGATTTACATGCCATTTCAATTATCCATAACAAAGGCGGCCGCATTTGCCGCTGAATGATGGGCGGTGGCAACAGCGCCAACCCCCCAAAGCCCCAGACAGCCACAATTTCACGCGCTTCGCACGGGCTCACGTCAAGCGGCAATTAATAACTGTCAGTCAATTGGTTGCCACAACTAAAGCCAACTCAAAGCTCCAGCATCACAACAAAGAACTAATCCCCTTTTGTCATCGGCCAGCACAGACCGCGGGCCAAACATTACGTCAAAATCATAGAAAGCAACAATAGCAACAAAATGCCATGAAAGGAAAGCTATCATAGAGCCCCTGTGCGAATACACTCGCTACATAAGATAGGTGATAGCTGCAGTTGACGATACCAGGGAGAAGTCGAAAGTAAGGCGAAAACGAAGCTGTTCAAAATGAGGCAAATAAACATTTTAAATAATTACCTAGTATTTTAGATGAGTACTAGGTAAATTCTATTCATTAACTTTTCTTAATTCTAACTTATTGAAATTTCATATATCCCAAAATCTGCAAGCCTATATGTTAAAAAAATTAATGATGAATGATGAAATACGCGAAACCTGCTTTGAAAATTCGATTCCATTGAAATATGCCAGCTCTGAATAAGAGAGAATAATCAGAGTAAGAGCGTTAACAGTCAGACAGCATACATATATAGATATATTGATGGAAATAGACATGTTTAAATTTAGGATAGACACATACAGAGATAACCATATTTAAAGTATACCATATGAAGTATGCCAAACAATTACATGTTAAGAACAAATTGGCAATATTGAGAGTGTATCTTATAGAGATCGCTAGATTGCAATCTTATATACTCCTAACTCTGATATTAAACCTGATAATTCTGAAATCTTGCATTGCTTCATTACACGTTACAAACTTTGTATGAAAACCGAGCGATCCATCTGAAAAATCTCTTCGGCTCAGATTAATTAAACGTTGTAAATTTTTAATGCAGACTTTCGCTCAGCTATTTAAGAGTCTCAGACACGTTCACATCTTTACAATTCTGCGCACGCATTTGCTCCACTTGCGAGATGGACTTAGAAGACAATGTAGAAAATACAATTCGCATAGGGTTTAAGTTGGTTATAGTTACGAGAAAATCATTATTTACTAAATGAAGTACAAAGAGCTCCGAAATGATGCTTATTACATTAATATAAATTATCAGGAGCTCAGCTAACCATCAGGCGCGGCGCTATGTTCATTGACATGAGCTCCTGGAAGAGCAGCTTCGCCGCGTACGGCAGTCTCACTTGCGAGATCTGCGTCTTGTTCTTGCAGCCTTTGCACTCGAACGTATTGTTGCGCAGATTGGCAATGGCAATCAGGCCGCAAAAGTTGCAAATGTGCACGCGATACGGATCGGACACTTCGAACAGTCGCTCGCGCAGGAACTGAGCAGCACCGTGAGAGATTTGACAGTCACGCTCCATCTCACCGAAACGCAAGCCGCCGTCACGGGCTCTGCCCTCCATAGGCTGGCGCACTAGGATCTGCACTGGACCACGGGCACGGGAGTGGATTTTGTCGTCCACCATGTGCTTGAGGCGCTGATAGTAGGTTGGGCCCAAAAATACCTGCAACAGACATTTTTTTAAATATTCATTCATTTATACAGCCAGGATATTCCTCTTTACCTGAGCATTAATTTTCCGGCCAGTGTGACCATTGTACATGACCTCGTTGCCACGTAGATGGTAGCCGTACTCCTGAAGGAAAGTAGAAATCTTTTGTACGTTGACGGCATCGTTGAAGGGCGTGGCGTCGCCGATTTCGCCCTTATTGGAGCCAAGCTTTCCCTGCAGACACTCGATCAAATGGCCAATTGTCATACGAGAGGGAATGGCGTGGGGATTGATGATAATATCTGGCGCCAATCCCTCGCAGGTGAACGGCATGTCCTCCTGTCGATACTGGATGCCACATGTTCCCTTCTGCCCGTGACGAGAGGCGAACTTGTCGCCAATCTGTGGTATGCGCACGGAACGCACACGAATCTTGCAGAACTTGTAGCCCTCGCTGTTTAGTGTCAACATAACCTGATCTACAATGCCCGTCTCAGAGTTACGCAAAAATGTGGAGGCATCGCGCTTGGCGAATCGCTTTGTATTGCTGTCCAGTTCATCGTCGTTCTCGGGTAGCGTAATTGTCTTGCCAATGACGACATCGTCGCCAGAGACACGAATGCCAGGCGCAATGATGCCATCATCGTCCAGTTTGTCATAATGAGCGTTTCGCATGCCCTGGCAAGTGCCGCGATGCGGTTTCTCAAAGTTCTCTTCTTGATCACCGACGCGTTTATTCTCCGCATCCTTGTACGATCGATAGAACACCGACCGGAAGAAGCCACGCTCCACGGCGGAGGCATTCAGAATAACGGAATCCTCCTGGTTGTATCCAGTGTAGCACAAAATAGCCACAATCGAATTGATGCCCGCAGGAAGCTCACGGAAACGCAAATACTCCATGGATCGGGTTGTCACCAATGGCTTCATGGGATAATACAGCACGTGCGCCAGGGTGTCCATACGTACGTGGAAGTTGGTTATATATACACCCATGGCCTGCTTACCTAGAGTCCAGAAATAGGGAGAAATTGTTAATATACACTTTAATCAGAGTGATCATCTGCTGCTTACCCATAGCGCTTTGATAGGTGTTACGTGGACTCTGATTGTGATCGGGGAAGGGTATAATAGAGGCACAGACACCCAAGATCATGGCCGGATGAATCTCACAGTGAGTGTAGGTGGTACAATAGGCGTAGTCCTTGTCCTGCTTGAGATCGTAGGGCGACATGGCAATCATGACCGTTTCCTCCTCGAGTGTGTCAATGTACTCAACAACACCAGAAGCAACCAGCACCTGCCAGCTGTAGTTATTGTAGTCTCGCTCCTTCAACATCTCCACGTGAGTCTTCTTTAACAGTAGCGTGCCATTCTCGACAATGAGCAGAGGTCTACAAATGCGACCCGCATCTGTGTAGATTCGGATCTCGCGATCGCGAATGTCGCGAATCATGGACACCTCTGATACAATGATGTCCATCTGACGACGCAGCTTACGCAGTGTGGCCATCAGTTGCTCGGGATCTCGATGTATGCCCACCCAACAGCCATTCACGAAGATTTTGGTAGCATCTGCAATAGCAGAGGGCGCGATTTCCTCCAGATTCTCCATTGACCACTCTTCCAAGAACTCCAGAATCGGCGACGGCTGTGAGCCCACGGAAATGTAAGCCATCAGTGCCAGATTCTTTACCAAGCCCACAGCTGCGCCCTCAGGCGTTTCTGCCGGACACAACATGCCCCACAGTGTGTTATGCAACTGACGTGGCTTGGCCAGCTTGCCGTCGCGTCCAATGGGTGAGTTGACGCGACGCAGATGGGACAATGTGGAGGCGAATGTGAGACGATTCAACACCTGCGAGACACCGGCGCGAGCCTGATGCGCCTTCTTCTGATCGCCCCAGTTGCCGGTGGCCAGCGAGTAGCGCAGACCGTCAGTGATAATGTTTGTTTTTATGGCCAGCTCCAGATTGAAGTCCTTGCCGCGGTCAATGAACTTCTGTGTGTACATGCGCACCTCTTTCATCAAGTTCTTGAAGAGGCCACGGAAGAGGAAGGCCAGCAGAGGACCAGCAAGATCCAGGCGCTTGTTGCCATAGTGATCACGATCGTCGAGCTCTCGGCGACCCAGCGAGGCCAGCAGCAAGCGATGCACCATGTACCCTAGAAAATAGGCCTTCTTTGTCTCGCAAAAGTCAGAGACGCCGACATGCGGCAACATTTCCTTCTGCAGAATTTCCTTGGCGTACTTTATACGCTTGTCCTTGGTGACGCCGGGGCGTGCGCCGCGAGCGCCAATGAAATTAAGGGCTACATTCTGCTCCTGCACCACGAAGGCCTCGTCCAGGGAGGGCTTCACCATCTCCATCATCTCGGGATCGTCAAAGTCGTATATAATATGCTCTAAAATATCGCGATCAGCCACAAATCCCAGGGCACGAAAAACTATCATTATGGGTATCTCTTGCTTAATGTATGGGAGAATGGCAATGATCCGCTGTCCAATCGCCGATTTCTTGATGTTTTGCGAGCCACGCGCCATCATGTTCACCCAGAGCGTAGAGGTGGGGCGCGAGCTGTGCTCCAGGCAGGAGCGTATCTCCGTTTTGAAGGCGTACTTGCCATCCTTCATGCTGAATACGTACACCGTGTTCGTGGCCATCTTCTCCTGGGCGATGAGGACTTTCTCTGAGCCGTTAATGATGAAGTAGCCACCCGGATCTAGCGGGCACTCGTTAAGCTCAGTCAAATCACGATCGGTGAGCTGTGAGAGCAGACAATATGTTGATCTCAACATGATGGGAATTTTGCCAATGAAGGTCTTTTGATGCTGCGTCTCCACGGGATCCATGCCCTCGACATTCTTTGTCTTTGTAATATCCACATATAGTGGAGCTGAATAGGTCAAATTGCGCAAGCGCGCCTCGTTGGGCATCATAGGACTGGGTGAGCCATCCTTTTCCCAATGCGTCGGCTTGGACAAGTAAATCTGTTCGAATTTTAGGGAAAATCGAGGAGGTGTCTCCACTTCGCCAGATGTATGCTGGGCCTCAGCCTGCAGCTCAATGGCTGGCGAGTCCTCAACAATGCGCTGCACAGACATTTGTATGAACTCATCGAAGCTGTCCAGCTGCTGACGCACAAGGCCTTTCTCGTCGAAATAGGCGTTGATCACGATCCAGCAGGCCTCCTGCCAGAGCTCGTGAGAGATTTCCTCTGCATTTTCCTCATCGAAATTCTCTGCAAAAATATTTATTTTTCAGTTGATTTTCTGCAGACAACGCCAGCGCCTCCGCCGCCATGTTAATTTTTTGCGCGGCGTGCGCTGCAATTTTGTTAGACGTATTCTTACCTTCTTCATTATCGTACATCATGTTGACTTGTTAGCTTGTTGCACTTTGTGCACTGATGAAAATAAAAGAAATTGGTATATCAAGAATCCTTTAATTTTTTAAATAAATTGATGAAATTGATATGACGAATCCTACAAGCACCGCAATAAGCGGCGATTCTGTTGGGACTAGTGTTAGTAACACCGAAGTACTTGAATATCGATAGTTAGTGCTCAGTAACGATGCTTATAGATATCGATAGCGTACAGTGCCCAGTATGCTGTGCATCCGATGCATAGCAATTTCATCATGTATTATTTGCAAGATATGCTGATCCGAAACCTTTTGTTTTTTGAGATACTCAAATAAATATTATTAATTCATAAGCCAATATGTAAATACATTATTATAGATAGTAGCTCAAAGAGGAAAAATAATTGTTGATCTTAACTTTAAGCATAAATGATTTTTTGCTTTTTACGTTTGTTAAACCAATATGTTTTCTAATAGTTTTTACATAGGGTATCCTTCTCATACTTTTCATGGTCTGTTTGCGACAGACTTTACGATATCGCGTGCCCATCGCTATCAGCGGGAACAGCTGTTTGTGCCGTTGCATGTTTTTCTTGTACTTTTTTGTTATTTAACGCTGGACTTCACATGAGTTTCTTAAGGAAAGGCGGCCGGTTTTTGATTGCCGGCATTCTGCCGGGCATTGACCGCAGCGCTAACGATGTTGTCGACAAAGAGAGCAAAACATACAAATCATTCTTAGCTCATAGAAGAGACGATGAAACTGGCATGGAGCGGCTCAAGCAAATGTTTACCGTGGAGTAAGTAAAGCAACTGAAACGACGTCAAGACACTTGAAATAACAATACTTCATATTTCAGTGAATTCGGCAGCATATCCTCAGAGCTCAACTCGATCTACCAGGTGGGCTTCTTCGGCTTCCTCGTTGGAGCCATCTATGGCGGTGTTACACAATCACGAGTGAGCTACATGAACTTCATGGAGAACAATCAAGCGACAGCGTTCAAATCACATTTCGATGCCAAGGTAAGACACCTCAGTTCATACAGTAAATTGAATAAGTAGACTTTTCAATGAAACTTGCAGAAAAAGCTGCAGGATCAGTTTACGGTGAATTTCGCAAAAGGCGGCTTCAAATGGGGCTGGCGCGTCGGCCTGTTTACCACCTCCTACTTGTAAGTCTTTATAGATAATTTGTCCCACTAGATTCCTAACGAGTTGGCTCTTTCACCAGCGGCATCATAACCGGTATATCCGTTTACCGGGGCAAGTCGTCAATTTACGAGTACTTAGCAGCGGGCTCCATAACTGGCGCACTCTATAAACTCAACTTGGGCCTGCGTGGCATGGCAGCTGGAGGCATCATTGGTGGCTTCATGGGCGGCGTTGCCGGCGTGGCATCGCTGCTGCTAATGAAGGCTTCGGGCACCACCATGGAGGAAGTGCGTTACTGGCAGTACAAATGGCGGGTGCAGCGCGACGATGACATCCGTCAAGCCTTAAAGAACCAAGCCGAAAAGGATGCGCCCGATCTGTTCACCGCGCACGATAAACGTGTGGGCGAGACGGTGACATTGGAGACGGTCAAGTGAAGCAGCTCAATGTAACTTTAGATACTTTTTATTTAAATAATAAATTGCAATAATGTCCTCGAAATGTACAGACAATACAATTAAGGAAGCCCAAGTCGGCTACTGCTATGCGTTTCAATTGTTCAGTTGATGCCTAGTGCAACTAAAGATACAGATATGACTCAGATACAGTGAAGATGGAGCACAGAATTTAAATGCAATAAATTAAATGCTTTGCGAGGAAAACAAGAAACATAAATTATGCGTGTGAAGAATATGACTCGATAAATTTCAGACTTCGTCTTCGTTGGAGGGACGCGTTAGGCGCTTGGCTCCGCGGTTCGGTGGGCCCTTTGGCTTTGCAAACGCTGGGCGATGCAATATCTTCTTGGGATGCAGCTCGTCCTGCAGGTATTGCTCGGTGAGTTCGTTGCCGCTGTCGATTTCCAGCTGTATTGTAAATAGATCAAATGAGTTTCAACCAGCGCCTTGAACAGAGCTTGATTTGCTCACCTTCTTGGCTATTTCTATGCCGTAAGAGGCTAGCTCTTCAAGGAACGGAGCCTTGCAACTGGAGTACATCATGCGCTCGCGCACAGAGCAAGAGTATCCGGGCATAGAGTATATGAATATAAAGGACTCCAAGTAGTCGCCCTCGTGGGTGTGCTTGAACAGATATAGATGGTAACGCGCATGGTCGTCGGGCACCTGCTTTGGCAGATCGCTCAACTCCACATTGGCTGCATGGGATACATGAATGCGCTCTTCCTCCAGGCTAATGCGGAACTGCAAGTAGTCATAGTTGCCGCGCAACATATCCTGCACTGCTGTCCGTGTTGCGTCCGTCAGTGGGCAGGAGATGCCGCCCAGCGTCTGGTGCCGTGTATCCGTGGATATCTCGGTGCGCACTTCAGATTTCTGAAGTTCCTTTATCTCCTCTTCACGCATAGTAAGCGGCGCCGGCGCAGCAAATTCACGCTTATGCTTTTTGTAACCCTCCAGGGTGGTTTCCTCTAGAGTCGTGGCATGCAGCTCCTCCATGATGTACGCTGAACCGAATTCGGTCTTGAGTGTGGCTTTCGTTGAGGCGTAGACCATCTTTTGGCGAATGCTGGCAGTGTCTGGAATCCAACTGATTAGTAGCCAGCCATAGCCCAGAGGCAGCTTCGTATCCATGCGGTACAAGAGATAGCAGGGAACACTCTCCTCAATTAGGGGTGACATTAGCTTATCATAGTCTCGCTCCCAGTCTTTTTTCACATCAGCTGTGGCGCTGCAGCTGAGCTGTTCTGTGGGGGCGAATCAGCAAACGGAAATAACATTTCCGGTGTTATATTTTGATTCATATTCATATAGATATGTGTATATCTATGTGTGTGTGTTCCACTCACCATTTTCAATTGATACTTTTATCACCCGTATTTTACCGTTCTTGGCCTTGGCAAACACTTTTGCTAGTTGCTCGTTGGCTGATATTAATAATAATGTAAATTTATACCAATAGAATTATTGCTTATATTTTCTTTCTTGCAGTTCCGCTAGCTTACCTTTGATGCCTGTTTGGTGCGACATTGTGAACTGAGTGCAATTCTAAATTCTAATAGGAGAAAAAAAGTGTATTACTCACAAGAAAAGCGGCGATGCCACCTCTTTTAATTTTGTGTGGCATAGGTGGCATCATTTTATCTTTGTTTACATTTTGCACAGAAACAGTGCACTATCTGGCAGCACCATTTTATGGTAGTGCGACCAGAGTTTGAGCAATTAACAGTGCGTTTTACAGCACTATCACTTGCTCTGCGTTCTTTTCACGTCCGTAAAATGTAAAACAGAAGCTGCATTTAATTGCATTTATCGCGACGCAGTCCAATCAAAAACCAATTTCTAGTGCAATCGTGTAGTGAATCAAGTGAGTGAACAAACAGGTCGCAGCTAAAGTGCCAAGCATTCCACGCTCCAATTAGTATTAAGCTACATACACGCTCTCGCTGCCTCTGTCATTATCTCAGTCGCTGCCAACGTCAGCGTCAGCGCTCGTCACCGCCCTACTGCTACGAATGTTTACTTCCGCTTGTTTATGTCGTGAAAATCGAATATGAAATGCAATCATTGAAGTTAAACAAAAACTTTTGCTTGTGTTCATTGCAGCATCCATACCCATGTTAACCGAAGCGCTCATGGCCAGCGACAACATAATGGACGAACTAGCATCTTTGATCCGTACCGAAATTCCCGATGGCCGCCAGAGTCTACGCGACAGCTACACGAATCTCGAGCGTGTGGCCGACTACTGCGAGGACACCTACTATCGTGCTGACAATAAAAAGGCTGCACTTGAGGCCACCAAGAACTACACCACTCAGTCGCTGGCCAGTGTCGCGTATCAGATCAACACTCTTGCCTACAGCTACATGCAGCTGTTGGATTTGCAGGCGCAGCAGCTCAGCGAAATGGAGTCGCAGATGAACCACATCGCTCAAACCGTGCACATACATAAGGAGAAGGTAGCCAGACGGTAAGACCATATTAAGACAAATAACCATTTGAGTTTCTTTAATCATATATTCTTACAGGGAGATTGGTGTGCTCACGGCCAATAAGGTGAGCTCACGCCAGTTCAAGATTGTGGCGCCCATTAATCCCGAGAAGCCCATCAAGTATGTGCGCAAGCCCATCGACTATTCCATACTGGATGAGATTGGACATGGGATAAATTCCTCCAATCAGCATGTAGTGCGGCAGAAGCACCGCGGTTCGAGTCATGGTTCTGTTCAATCTCTGGTGCCGTCATCGGTGGGTCCGCCGCCCACCACGAAGCCACCGACACCACCACAAATGTCGCGTGCCGGCAACACGGGCACTCTGGGCAAATCGGTCAGCAACACTGGAACACTTGGCAAGAGTTCGCGGGAGTACCGCACGCCTCCAGTGGTAAATCCACCGCAAGTGCCCTCACACTATGCTCCCAACTATCCAATTGGACATCCCAAGCGCATGTCAACGGCCTCGTCCACCACAACCACCACCACTGGTGGCGGTGCAGCGGGCAATGAGCGCGCCGCCGGCTACAGTGCGCTGCCCATGCCGCCTAGCCAGCAGATTGCCACGCACGTAAATCTGCCCTCGGCTGGCATGATGCAGTCGCTGCCACCGCCGCCGCCTACCACCTACGACGACAGGAGCAGCATGCCGCGTAAGTCGAGCGATTTGAATTGAATTGCGAAAAGCAAATACTGAAAACTCTTGTGATTACCCTTAGCAGCGCCTCCCTCGCCGTTGACCGTCTCGCAGCACGAGATGACCGAACAGAGTCACATTGGCATGCACACCCTGGGTCGCAACATCAATAGGTAAGCAACCACACATAGCATGTTCTCATTGTTCGTTTGTATATTACTCATATCGTACCATTTTAATGCCATTTACCTGCCACAGGAATCCGAATAGGTAAATTGCATGCTTTTTACTATTTAGTTAAGTTTTATGTTAATTCTTTCGTGTGCCTAGAAATCATTTCAGCTTGAACTTCGCTCGCCCTGGATCGCAGTCGCCGCCGTTGCCACCACCGCCGCCGCCAGAGGATGAGCACCAAGACTTTGGGCGACCACGCACTTCAACGGGCCCACAATTGGCCCCAATTGTGCCGGAGGATCAGAACTTACCTGGCTGGGTGCCCAAAAACTACATTGAAAAGGGTAAGTTCCAGAGCATATACATATATTTTTTGATGTGTATTCTCATATGTATTGTCTTTTTTTTCCTTTTAGTGGTGGCTATTTATGATTATTATGCTGACAAGGATGACGAGCTCAGCTTCCAGGAGAGTTCCGTTCTGTATGTGCTGAAGAAGAATGACGATGGCTGGTGGGAGGGAGTTATGGATGGTGTAACCGGTCTGTTCCCGGGAAATTATGTCGAGCCCTGTGTCTAAGCACTGCCAACGGAATTAACAATAACAATAATATGCATTATAACGCAAACGATAAGAATTGCGCATATTGATAATGATAGTTATACAACTACAGCCGCAGCGTACGCTCCAAAAGTATTCCACTAGCATAAACGGAATGGCAACTGGTTACATATAGTTGAATATGTACAAGTGGTCAACAAACTCTCACACACACAGACACACACACACACGCATACATGCATAAACACACACGCACGCACACTCCAGCAACAATTGTCAGAGCATTTATATGAGCGCGCTCGCTATTTTCTACATAAAGTAAACTAACTATAAACTAATTCAATAATCTAATAGACGAAAATAGCCCAAAGGAATGAAAAATTCATGAAATTGAGAACATACATATATATGTATACAAAAAAAATATATATATATATCAACTATATTATACTGACATATAGACGAATTCGGCCCAAAGTATAAAGTGGTTAAACAACTGCCGGCGCTTACCACAATTTGTGTTAAAATGGTTTTTATTGTTTACATTGCGCTTGCACCACGCCTCCACCAGACCCCCCCCCCCCCAATTCCCGCAGTATCGTAGGTTATACGAATTTCAGTTAGCCTTTAGCATTTAAGTATTGGCCAATTGGTTATGCATTTTCTTATGCACACATGATTATTTACAAGAACACTGCAATTTGCATATATAAATATTATTTTGCGTCAATGCATACTAAAGATTTAGTTAAAGTGAAATTGCAAAAAAACAAAGAAATCAAATTACATTTATAATATATACAGCTCCACATGCATTATATGGTCTAATAGCTAATAAAAATTTCAAATTTCAAAAGCTCTGTTCGTTGTTTGACCATGCAATTTGGCATTGCTCGTTTGCATACCAAGGACCTCTCGACCTTTTCGTGCCGGATGCACGTGTGCCTGGGGAAATCTTTTATGAAAATTGGGACGCCCAGTGAAAGTGCTCAGTTTGAAAGGGTAATGCGAGTACGTCCCTGGCTTCTGGACTCGTGAGTGATGCCTGACGTGGGTGCCCGGCTGTTGGACTGCTCTCAATAAAATATTTACAAATGCCAACGCTTATCAAGCTCCCGCCCAATTCTATCAATCAATCAATTTTCCATTGCTGCATGAATATAAACAATTCACATTTCAATGTCGCGCTCGCAAAACGGCATCGGGCCAAACAGCTCTCCCACAGCCAGCCAGGACGACACGGAAATTAATGCCTTCATGTTGATGTGTAACACTTTTTTACTTGCAACATTTATTATCAGGCCCCATTCACTCGACTTGAGTCGACCCATTGTGGCATGGTGTGAGATCGATGGGGCGGAAACGTTTCTAGTTTTCCGGACAGGCGCCGGCTGCCCGACTAGACTTCACTATGTCGCAGCAAAAACTAAAACCTAAAGTGATTTGCATAAAAAGTAAAAAGGGTTTAACTCCTGGAAAAAACGCAAAATTAAAATAAATGCAACTTTATATTGATTTCTTTCTTTTATATATGAAAAAAAAAAAAAAAAAATTCATTATTATTATTTCTTAAAATTAACTTTGATAAACAAAATGCGCAATTTTTTGCAGATTGGAATAAAAATTTAATAAAGGCTTAACTTATGCCTTGATATTTCATTTTTAATATAGGTATTTTAAATATTATGAATATAAAAATATGGACTTGTATTGCAAATTTTATTTTTATTTATCAGATATATATGTCAGTAAATGCATAAGAAAGGTATTTCGACTCTTTTAGCTAGTTACATTTCTGCAATATTATATTGCCTAAGAAATAAATATATTTAGCTACTTATATATGCCCAGGCAATTATCATTATGAAGTGCAAACAAGAGCTTGAATTGGTATTTACAGCTAACTTAACTTAACTTGGGATTCTATGGCTGCCATCGGCCATCCTCATAGCTATGCAGGCCAACAATTACAAATCCGCTCACATTCAAGAATCCCTGGGCGAACGCTCAACTGGCCAACGTCAAAGAAATGTATGCAAAATGGCGCATTAGCATTTCAACAATTCGAAAAACGAGTGGAGTTACACAAAAAAAAAAAAAAAAAAAAAGAAATAGAGCCAAGAAACAACAACTGAGAAATTGATTGAGCTATGCGGCCAGGACATAACAGAACAAAACACAGCGCAGCACAGAGCCAGCCGACAGTTAGGGGTGTATCCAATAGCTCCCGACTAGGTACTATGCCGTACTCTATGCCTATAATTTGACCAGAGTCGACCAGGCCAGAGAGTCCGATAGAGCCGGTGGACTTTCAGTTGAGTTTTGTCAGTTCACGCGAACGGTTCGCTGTTGGCGCGAGTCAAGTTTTGCTCGAGAGTGTCTAAATAAATATACATATATATATATATAAATACACAAACACATATATATCAACATTTATTTATCTAGGCCCTGCCGTAATATTCAAATAGTTGGTGAACAAACAACATTTCGTAAGTGCGGCATTCTGCAGAGGTGCTGAAAAACTTTGCCATCGAGTGGCGCAAAGGTTTTGTTCTCTTGGTGAAGTTAATCGATGCTAAGTTTGGGCATACAGTTATGAGCGACTGTTGGTGGTCCTGGCGGTCCTTCAGCTGTTTGCGCATATAATTGACCTAGTTGGAGGCGCTTGCCTGAGCCGCTTATCGCGGCCATCTCTGCTCGCATTGCATTTACTTTTAGCTGAATTGTAAAATATTACATTATTTCATGCTCAGATTGGGGCCAACCGGGCGTCATTTTGTTTTGAAATGTGCGAAAACTTTCGTCGGCACTGTAAACAATGCGAAGCAGTTGCCCTCCATTCTAAGCCAGGACAAGCACTTGAGATTGTGGCACGCACACCTGCTTTGCAAAGACGTTTTGGCGTTAACGTCTCGAGTTTTTTAATTGCGCCGACTAATTGCCCAGCCTGAAGGTTAACAGTTTCCCTTGAAGCCCCACGAAACCAGCAACAAAATTCGTGGCTCACTCTGCTGGCTTATGATGAAGTGTGGCCAGGAAAAACTTCATATTACAACGATTAGCCAGGCACATTTTATTTGATGGACTCTATAAATAGCCATAAAACACACCTACAACTGAGCACACGTAATTAACTATTGGCCACAAATGCTGGCCATCAATCACAATCCCTAGAGCCCTGGACTGCACAAGCTTAAATTATTATAAATGAGTTGACTGCGTTTTATTTATTTTTTTAATTTTTATTTGTGTTCTAATTAGTGAAAACTTTATTTTAGTAGTTTTAGCTGCATGAATTAACTGTTGATTCGAAACAAGTTCGGAACAAAAATGAGAACAGAAATAACTTTTCGTTTTGTTGCAATTAAAAGTTGTACTTGTGTGTTAAAATAGACTATTTTAAGACCAGAGAGTCAAAGGTAAAATTATAGTTAAACGTGAGAGCTAACAGTTTCGTATTTAATTCAGATTGTGAACTGAAAAATTTAAATACCAAATTGAGCCGTTTATCAACTTGAGTAGAAGGATATCTGCTCCTGGCTGAGATCTTTATGAATTCATGAATTACGGACGAACCACAGCCTTCTTTTGTAGAGCCTAGATCATGTGGTGAACGACATTGATATCTGAAGAAAATAAAAAAGAGACTGGGATAAAGGAGAAACAGAATATTGTAATAAAAAACTAAATGAAGGAGCAGCTAATAAAACATAACTATCTGATAGATTCAGAATTCAGTATGAGATATCCAATAATTTCACATAAATTAAAGTCAGTTCCGTTAAGAAATCGCATAAAATATTTAATCCAACAAATTTACTGCAGATTTTTTAAGCACACACACAAATGTGCGTGGCTTCATTTTATGAGTGTGCGCTCGATAAACAAATGTGTATTGTCGCTGATTTTTCGCAGTAAATATAAATGAAATTTGTTTAGCGCTCGGCAATTTGTCAATATGCGACAGTCGAGTTGGGAGCTGGGCCTGAGCACATACACAGGAATGCAAATGAAAAATGGTGGAGCTCATTTGGAGCACGCGCTCCCACTGATATATTTATTTACTCATACATACCACCTAAGTAGGTGTGAGAGGCCCGCTGGCCACTAATGAGCCTCAATACGAATATATACCCCATATACACACTTACATATACATATATGCATATACATAATGCAAGGGGTTGCCCCCATGCTTTAAGCAAGCGCAGTGGGGGGGCCTATCGCTGGGCGTAATCTGGGCTAAGTTTTGTCGCGGACTCTCCTGACCGAAATCAAATCAAATGCGGTCTTTCAAAATATTAAAACATTAACAATGAGAGTGCGACAACGTCAAATAACAAAACCAAAAGCATGGACAACCACGCACACATAAAGGGAAGTACGTCTCTGTATAGCTATTCACCTGGACACCAAATAAATTTAGTCCCTTTGCTCTACAGTTGTCGTGTCTACGGGCAATTTACACAATTTCAATAAGCAGCAATAGCGAACAGGTATGAGTGCTCCAGTCGAGACTGCTTTGTTCAGAGATACTCTGTATAACACGATGAGCTGATACTGTAAGCCAGCTAGGTGGTAATTAAAGTTCATAAGTTCTTCTATATTTAGGAAGCGGGGAGGTAGAAAGCTAACGGAACAAGTTATAAACTCATACTATGTACAGATTACTTTTTAATATCGCAGCATTCATATGGACGGACAGCCGCCTTGATTGAAAATAGGTACATACTTTTTCTGAAATCCTATATACCCTAATTTTCTATTTTCGATGGACTCATAATAAATAGAGACAACTTGCTGCGAATGACTGACTAAAATATACTCTGCAGCTGAAGTATACGCACAGATTGAGACATCTTTGAAGTTAGATCTTGATCATAAACGAATAAAACTTGCCTTAAAAAAGTTTTCTAATTTTTCTTCAATATCAACATTCTGTTTTTTTATAAAGTCTGTAGTCATAGATATCTATAATGGCCAATTTCATTCGGATATTACTGATATGCTATACATATATGTACGTATATTTCTCTATAGAAGAGGACATTTTGATAATCAAATTGACAGGGTATTCAAAGAGAAGTAGCAGCAGCGAATAGTCGACAAAAATTCAGGTTGATTTTGATTGGGGCATACGAAGCGTTCAATGTGAATCGATTTGAATATCAAATTCATGATAGGCTGGGTCTATGATGATCTATTGGGAATTGCCTATATTTACTTAATGTACAAAGACCTGGTTTGCCAGTGGGCGTGCCCGAGGATTACTCGATTTGTTTTATTGACACTGAAGGCCGGTAATTTGTCTACATGCCACGCACTCACCAATTGCAGCGCGTTTGTTTATACGAAATTCCACTTTATAATTTAAGCACTTATAGGCTGAATCCATTGAATATTTCATGCATTCTAACGCCCAAATATTGACCACAACTGCGCACACTTTATAATTAATTCACTGCCAAGGAAAGGTGTTTTATTCCATAAAAAGAAAATCGTTATGGAAATGAAAATGGGTGGCATTGCGGCTTAGTATGTGTGTGTCTGGTATCAGGTGATACTTATTCTAGATAACTATTTAATTTGACGAGGTCAACTTATTGCGGCTTGTACTTAACGCAAAATACAATTTATTACAATGATTTGGCTCTTCAGAATTCACATACTTAATTGACTTGATTAACATAATTCATTCATTAACTAATTGAGCAAGCGGTCAACAATGGATATTCACTTCAAGTGAGACTTATTTTATAATTGAACACTAATTTGAAACTTGATTCGGCTCCTTACACGAAATTTCTGCTTTTACCTGGAATAATATACGTATAAATGGTTTATAGAAATTTGCATACATTTTCTAGTTTATATTACTTGAAAGTTCGACATTCATTATCCGATAATGATAATATTCTTGAAGAATATCGAAACTTTGAGTCATGGTCTGCTTATGCCGTTTTCCTTGCCGGTCAGCTTGGTCATCCGGAAAGTTATTGGGCTTTTGAGCTGCCATCGAACTCTTGAAGAGTTAATGCTCGTTGATTTACATGCGAGGACACGCAAATGCAAGGAAGGTGTTCAAGTTCACGGCTTAATTTATGGCGCACGCCACGCCGTAAACAAAGCCCGCGGGACTTTCACCTGCCAAACTTGGCCAACAACATCGATTAAGCCAAGTCATGTTCATGGCAGGAAAGACCTTGGCGCTAAAGTTTTCAATCCATTACGACTACTTGAAGGTGTTGGCGGATGGTGGGAGATGGGAGATGGGAGATGGTAGGCGGGAGGTGGGGACATTGGGAAACACCCAGTTAATGACAGTTTTACGATTGTTGACAACAAATTGACACCATTTGTGAGCAGTTGTTGCTATTGTTGTTGCCTTGTTTCAGGTTATCAGCATTGCAAAGGCACGTGGCCCACCTGTGAAGGACAGTCAACTGATCAAAGATGGCGGCTAGCGCTGGTGCCAGCAGCTGGTCGGGCAGCAGCGGGGGCAGCACATCCTCCCAAGGACGCCAGCTGGCGACCGCCCAGCCCGCCCAGGAAGAGCGTTTAGTGGTAAGTTAATCAAACATCAGGCACCTGAGGTAAATGAACCTTCACGCCCTCGCATTGTCCAGGTGGCGGTGCGCGTACGTCCCAGCCTGGAGGCCACGGAGCGCTGCATCGAGGTCATCTCCAGCGGCTCTCTGCTCTATGACGACGGCGGCAAGAGCCGGCCACGCAAGTACTCATACGATCACGTCTTCAAGGAGAACGACACACAGGAGCAGGTGTACAAAACCACCACAGCACCACTGGTCAAGGACGTCCTGAATGGCTATAATGCGGCCGTGTTTGCCTATGGCGCCACAGGCTCCGGCAAAACGCACACAATGCTCGGTCCTGTGCCCCGGAAGAAGCCCTCCACGGCGGATCGTGGGCCGACGGCAGTCGTTGGCTACGAGGCTGACGTTAGCAGTCAGGACATTGGCCTAATGGTGCGCGCCATTGAGGATATTTTTGGTCACATCGAGGCGGCTGGGCCGGAGAGTTCCACCAAGGTATCCATATCGTATCTGGAAATCTACAACGAGCTAATACGGGACTTGCTCAATCCTGGCGGCCCGCTGGAACTAAGGGAAGATCACAGGGGTCAGCGCATCACAGTGGCTGGCCTTTCCGAGATAACTACGTCTAGCCGCAAGGAGGTCGTCAGCCTGCTCATCAAGGGCAACAAGTCGAGAACAATGGAGCCAACTGCGGCCAACCAGACTTCTTCGCGCAGCCATGCCCTCCTCAGTATTACCGTGCAGACGCGCACGTCCCTGGGCACCAAGCAGGGAAGGCTCTTCCTCACTGATCTGGCCGGCTCGGAGCGGGCCAAGAAGACTAAGAATCGGGGCAAGCGCTTGCAGGAGGGCGCCCACATCAATCGCAGTCTACTGGCCCTGGGCAACTGCATCAATGCACTGTCTGGCGGTGCTCGCTACGTAAACTACCGGGACTCGAAGCTCACCCGTCTGCTCAAAGAGGCGCTCAGTGGTCGCTGCAAGACGGTTATGATAGCCCATGTGGCGCCTGAGAGCAAGCATCGGGACGAGACCAAGAACACGCTGGTGTACGCGGACCGCGCGAACAGCATCACCACCAAGCTGCAGAGCTCCGTCTACATCGATGAGTTCAAGAATTTCCCCACCAAACACTATCAGAGCCTCGTCTCAGAGCTGCGAGACGAGGTCACCCGCCTGCGCACCAAAATGCTAACGGATCGCCCGCGCAGCGGTGCTGCCGCCGCTGCCGCTTCAATCGCCGCCCAGCAGCCGCCCAGCGAGGAGCAGAACGAGCAGCGCAAGGCGGAGCTGCGGTATCTGCGCGAACAGATTGTGCTGACCTTCAAGCAGCAGATGAAGCTGCGTCGCAAACTGCTCGAGGCCGAGAGCCATCTGTTGGGCCTTGAGCTGGATGCCGAGCGACAGCACATGATCATATCACATTGGCAGGGACGCATCGGCAAACTGTACGATGCGCCCGGAGAAGATGGTGAGCATTGAGTTAAGAGAATAATATACTCTAGATATAATGGGAATATAATAACTGAAAGTTTGATAGGATATCTCTAGATCTAATCTCTTGATATATGTTAAGGGAATAATATACTCTAGATATAATGGGAATATAATAACTGAAAGTTTGATAGGATATCTCTAGATCTAATCTCTTGATATATGTTAAGGGAATAATATACTCTAGATATAATGGGAATATAATAACTAAAAGTTTGATAGGATATCTCTAGATCTAATCTCTTGATATATGGGAATATAATAACTGAAAGTTTGATAGTAGATCTTAATTATACTCTATATGATATAGCTGATTTTGAATTATGGATTCATTGTTTTCTTATCTCAATTTCTTCTCTTATACAGACATTGAGTCAGAGGGATCCGTGGCTTTGAAGAATGCGTGGGGTGAATTGGCGGCTATTGAGAAGGAGACGCGACGATATAAGGAAATTCGTGAGCACACTGAACACGAATTGGAGCAGTGTCGCCAGAAGGGCGTCAAACTAGAGGATGTAAGTGCGAGGACTACTACTCTAACTAAAACTACTTCTAAGAACTGCTTTAATCGAGAAACTATAAGCAATTTCATTATTTAATCATTGATCCTCAGGAGCTTCCAGAGCGCATTTCAAGCGATGAGGAGCGCGAGCTGCTCGCCCTGCTCTGCCGCGTGCATGAACTGGAGGCGGACAAGGTCTCCTTGCAAGCGGAGCGGCTGGCGCGCCAGGCGGAGCTGCGGCGTCGGGATCTGCAGCTGCTGCGCGCCGAACGGCAGAGGCGACTGTGCGAGGACATCATTAGCTCGCAGCGCCGACTCATCGAGGAGGGCAACGTGGAGCTGCCGGATGAGCTGCGCGAACTCTACGGTCTCTACCAGCAGGAGATACACGCGGGAGTTGTCACGCCCAGCACGAGCAGCTACGACAAGAAGCTGCCGCCCATATACACAGCTGGGTAGGTCAGCACTCATTTCTCTCTCTGTCTCTGTCTCTCTCTCTCTGTCTGACTCTTTATGTGCAATATTTATGTATATCTCATTTGCCTGCAGCTCCGATTCCCCGGGCTCTAGTTCTAGCTCCGAATGGTCACCCGCCTCGCCTTTGCCGGCCATTGAAGGTCACGCCGAGCACATTATCGTGGCGGATGGTCCCGATCGTCTGATGGGTCCGCCAGTGAATTCCCGTCTGCCCCGTCTGACCACTGCTGCGCCCGGGGTCGGCATGCGTCGCCCCTCGCTGCGTCTGAGCAAACAGACGCATCCTTAGAGGCAACTGCGCCGGCTCTGTCCGAACTGCTCAGGTCTAACTGTAAAGGTTTTGCTATCGATGGAACGTGCATTACTACTATTTAGAGAATCTAGAAAACTTAGCAATATGCTTAATATATGAATTAACTTTAGCAATTAATCTTAATTATGTTTGCTTAATATCTTAAATAAATGCCTTATCTGATAGAACTGCATTATTTTCAATATTTGTATAACTTATTTCCGTTAAAAAACGATATATAAAACCACAGTGCAGACTCTAATGTAGAGTCAATCCAAATTAATTCTTAAGAGAATTCAATGTAAATACATTAGCTGAAATCTCGGTTGCCGTATTGAGAAAATTTGATATTGAAGTTTTCCGTTACATTGACAAACATGTTTTCGAAACAATCTGGCAGCACAGACTTTAGACGCGAAGTTGGCTGCGGTTCGTGGGCCCTAACTTCACTGTCACTTGAACAACTACATAAAATTAAATACAATATACAGAAGTGCTTATAAGCTTATAGGTGAGTTAACTATTTCTTCTACACTCATAGTAAATACAATATAGAAATGTTGATAAACTTCACAGTAGTAGTAATATTTATTATTGATTTAAAAAATATATATATGTTTTTAAAATAATTTTTAAGCTTTACCAAAAGTTAATTTCAAAATATATATATTTTTTTTAGTTAACTACATATCAATTATATACATGAATTTAAACAGCTGATTAATTCTCATGTTAAATAAAGTGTCTAGATTTATTCAATTATCGCATTTAAACAAATTTACTCTGACTTTTGTAGATTGTTATCGTGGTCCGAATGACATATTTGTTTGGCAATTCAATGTCCGCTCGGCTGATAGCGCTCATTATAAGCCACATATTTGTTGTATTTGTAAATGTAAAGAGCAGCCCTTCCGCACACTTGACAAACTGAATAGAATTTTCGTTTCCAAGCAACCACTAAGGTCACTGCCGGCCCAAAATATAAGTTTCTTGTTTTTCGGAACTGGGTCACCAGCAACAAACATAAACAAACGCTGAGCATAAGTCAGAGTGGGACCGCAACACTGAGAGGAGGCAGGGGGCGCAACAGACTGCGTGCAAGCGAGACGGTGCGTCGCTGAGAGAGCTCACTGTGAGAGCGAGTTGAGCATGCGAGCATGCGTTGCCACGGTAAATTATCTATCAGCATGCACAAAAGTATCTGGCAGTTTGATTTTCATTATTAGATACACAGCTGTATGGACAGTGCGTGGCTCTTGTTCCCCCTTGGTATTCGTGTTTTGTGATTCGAACAGTGAGCAGGTTGCTGTCGCACAGGGAACTGCCACTGCAAATGAAATACATAAATTAATTGAAAGATAATAATAATAATTCAGGAGAAATATTCTAAAACTTCAACTGGAAAAGAGCGCTGGAAAACTCGACTCGAGTGGCTGACAAACGACAGACGACAGACTTATTCGAATCGGCATTCATAAATGCGCAATTTGACGCAGATAACAATTATTTCTCGCTTGCTCTACACGAAACCCTAAATTGTCTGGATGGGAAACAACTTAACTACGAGTGGATTGGTACGGATAAACCGGGGCAGAATTGTGTTCTTCGAAAGGCCCGTCGAGGCGCAGGTGAGTGAAAATTGTGTAGGCGCCGCGCTGTCAAACCACCACTGACACCACTGAAAAAGTATCCCAATTGCATCTTCGTGGGTGTTGTGTGGGTGTCGTGTGGGTATAACTGCAATCGAAGCGTACATGCATTCATGTATCTATACATAAACCATATAAATGGAGGTTCGACTGGGAAGCAAACCCAGCTCTGCCTGGGCTGGCGCTGCAATGCATAGCAACAGCTAACGGCTGCACTTCGGACAGCCCGGACAGTCTGGACAGGCCAACAAGTCCGTGCAGCCCACCTGCACAGAGGCTAGTAGGCGCTTTAACCCTTGGTATTAGTTGTCAAACACCCCTGTTACTGAAAACTTCAAGTATATATGAATGATGTGAAGTTTGAGTAGGCAACTGCTATATACTCAATATTTTCATGATAATCAATCAGAAGCAATTGTCAATAGCAAAACCAAATTAATATTGTCGCAAAAAAAAGAAAGCAGAAAGCAAATAATATTAAAGATTTCATAGAGTACAAACGAAAATAAATATATATTCAAAATTTTAAAAACTAATGATTTATGAAACTTAATTTTATATCATGAATAAAAGTGTCAACATTTAGTTAAAGAAAAATATACA